TATTAGGCTTTTGGTCCTCTATGCATTGAGCTGAGCCATCTGAAGAAAGATGACTGGGAATTTCCCGGAGTCAAAAGGCCAGGGGCTCAGCCTCTTGTGTCTGAATGTGATCTCGACTCTTCTATACATTTTTTTTTTTTGGTAGGGGGAAGTTTTCTGGAGAAAAGCAAACAATCCCTCCTAGTTTACATTTCTTTGGCATGAGCCACGTGAGCACATTGGGCCTGGGCTATTTCTGGAGGTGTGCGTGTTTGGACACACGCAAGTGTGGCTGTCTGAAGCCACCAGGGTCCTTTGCTGGGGCAGAGCCCAGGGAAAGGAGGGTGGAGAGTAGGTCACTGAGTCACGCGAGGGGCCGTATCCCAGACTCCAGCCAGAGACCTAAGCAAACCACTGCACACCAAGGGCAGCAGGCTTCCTCCTGAGGCTTTCTCTGCAGACATCAAACAAGAGACGTGCTTTCCATGCTGGGCGCCTGCACCGCCCCGATCAATTTAGACTTCTATTTCTGGGAGCTGATTTTTTTTTCTCTCTCTCTTTTTTAAACCCAAAGCTATTTTAAATCCGCATCCAAGTACAAGCGACTGAACTTGAACTGCTCTCAGGACGCCGTCTGGGCCAGCTATGCTTTAGACCCTGACTGCCAGGGAGGACCTCGAGCCAGGGATGTGCTCCGCCGAGAGAGGGGGGAGGTGGCTCTCCGTCCCCCCACGAGGTGTCCTTCCTCTCCCCCTGCCCCCGTGCATTTGTGGGAAGGTCTGTGAGGCTAAATCCTGGAGAGGAACTCCTTGTCCCTCTAACCCTCCTGTGCTCTGTGCCCCCCGCCCCCCAGCTGTGTGGCCTGTAATCTGAGGAGACCAGTGCCTTTTCGTGTTTTATACATTTTATTCATACATTTCTCCAACTTTGAAATGACAAAAGCCCAATTCTATGGTTTCCCATTACACAGCATCCTACAGGTATGTATATTCTACAAAGAATACTATGGAGTTTCTCTTCCTCCCCTGTCACACAAGAGATAACCGATGACGGTTCCATCCATCTGTACTGTAACTGGCCGCGCACCAGCGGTCCGGTGGTTCCGGTGACAGGGCAGAGGGATCAGGGCGGGAGGGCGTGTGCTAAGGCATGTAAATAGATACACACAGAAAGAAAAGCGGGACATTTACAGAGAATCCGAACCTTTCCGACCCCCTCACCTCCTGGGTGTTGAAGGACCCCTCCTGCACGAATGCTCTTGTGCGCTAAGGCTTTGCTGTACCCTGCAAATACTTACAATCGGAAATGGTGAAATATACAACAACTGTTAACATCGCTCTCTTTTTATCACTGAGACAATACTTCAAAACCTTTTATAAAAAGGCAATTATACATACAGAGAAAAGAACACGTTGGCAAAACTTTATGCAAAACGACCCCAGAACTGAGTTTGAAGGGTGACACACCTGCATTGCCATTGAACACGATGGCGTGGCCTCTGTGTGGGTCCGGCTGCTGCCCCCCCCCCCCCCCCCCCCCCGCCACCGGCCCGCCCGGGTGTCATGCCAGGACACAGCTGAGACTGGAAAGTCTGTTCCCCCAGTTCTTGGTCTCTTCAAAATGAAAACAAGAGGTGGGGCCCCTCACTGTGGAGGAGCACACCTTTCTGCTCCCAAGCAGAACTCCTTGTAAGAGGCTGCACGTCCCCTGCGCCTCGAGCCCGTCAGCCCCAGGCCTCTCCTGCGGGGAGCGCAGGCTCGGGTCCTTGGCCGCAGGCCGGTGGGAAGGGACCAAACACTTGCTCTCTGAGCATACATCGCTACGGAGTTGTGCTTGGGGCCAGAAACGGGGTCTCCTGTGTGGTGACAAACCTCTCTCTCCGTTTTCTTTTGCTCAGTCCATTTGCACAGGTTCAAGAGGGTTGATGGAAGGTCAGGTGAGAGGTGGGGGGGGGGGCGCGCTCTGGATTTTCTCTGCCTCCGAAGGGCTAAAACTCGGCAGTGCCTGTCCTAGAGGTGGCGTGGCCCCCTCCCCGAGCCCCCCTCCCCCCGCGGGCCCCGGTCTGCCCACCTTCTGCGGCCCAAGAGCAGCGGAGAAAGGAGCAGATGAAAGGGATGGGGGCCGGTGAACATACCCTTCGTGTCCCTTTCTTCCGCTTCCTGGATGTGGGCCGCAGCCAGACTTCACTCATGAAGCCCGAAGACCCGAGACCTCCGAGAGCTCCAAGTTTAAGGCAAACAGTAAGTGAGCGGGGGCCAAGCCAATGGAGTAGGCCTGATGGGCACAGTCCCTGAACCGGAGACCTCAAATGGAGAGGAAAACCTTACTTCCAAAGGGGTAAGAAAAGGAAGAGTTCTACCAACGGAAATGATTCACGATGAAAGCTTGTAGCCCTTCTGCAAGCTGCGTCAAGAAGCAGAGTGCCTTTCAAAGAGAATTAATTAGAGGCGCAGAACAAGAGAAAGGCGCTCAGGGACCCTTAGTCTATGACAGGCCGTAATCAGCCTCAGTATGTGAAGCCCTTGTGAAGAGGATGGAATTAGGAAGCTGTGTTCAGTTCTGGAAAAACAGACTCCTCGCCCGCCCCCCAACACACACACTTGCGTTTGATGATAGGAAGCAAGGAGGAAGCGGGATGGGAACCGGAAGCGGCTTGTTTTGGAATGCCCATTGCCAGGTGCCTTCCCTTTCCAAGGGGGGCTGTGTGGGAGACAGTATAATTAAGAATTTATTAATGAGAAAATCTTCCCGCTAGCGTTAGCAGCACGTTCTCTTTGCCCCAAGAGATTGACCTGAAACGAAGAAAAGGACATCACATTGGTGGGAGACAAGAGAGTTTGCTTTTGGGCTGCCTGTCCCCAAGGGACTGCGTCCCCTCTGGGCATCTCCGCTGTCCCATTTCCTCGAGGGTGGCTCCACTGACTAGACTTTTTCAAGGAATGAACTCGAAGCCTTGATGAACAGGTAACCCGGAACGATTTGAAAAGCAATAAGCACTCTCCTCTGCAGTAATGAGATCAGAGGCTTTCCTAAGATTGCCGGGGGGGGGGGGGGGGGGCGGGGCGGAGAATGAGGCCACACCCAACGGGCCGCCCTGCGTTGGGAGCTGCGGCTGGGCTGGACGTGGGGAAGAGGAGCACCTGCTGGGTCCTTCGTGCAGCGCAGGCTCTTCATTCTCTTTAGGTAACCCGCCACCAATAGGATGGGCTCTGAATGCAAGTAGCAAGAAGTAGGTCACCCATTTCTTTTCTTCTCTGAGCCAATATTTTAAACCATCTCATCTGACAGGAGATACATTTAATTCTTTTAAAAAGCTACCATATTACCTTGACACTGAGACAACTTCCAGATGAATTGAAATGAGTGACATTTTCCTTTTTAGTGTTAAAACTGAATAGGCTGTGCGTGCAAAGGAACTACTACCTTATTAAAAAAAATCAAGATCCTTCCTCGTAACGAATGATTCCGCATATTAAAAACAGCCCCTTTTTTGCTGTGGGGGGTGGGAACCCTCCGGCATATGGCTCAACTGACCAGTGATAAGATTTGATAATTGTAATCATTTGCTCTGGTCTTTAAAATGCGGGGGGAAAGTGATTTTGCTGGTGGAATGGAAGCAGTGAAGACGCTTTTTAGTAATTTGCTTGCTTAGTGGATGACTGTGATGTAGCAGCAGCAGTTTTGCTTGGGAATTATTCTGAATTTAAGTATTTGCTGTCGGGTCGTAAAGACATTACTTTCCAGAGGGGCCTGTGTGAGTGGAATGGAGCCGATGAGTGCCTTGAGAGGTTCGGCCAGGATGAGTTCTGGGTGCCGGGCTTTTGCCACCCACACGGGGCGAGCGCGGTGCCTGCCTGTGTGCCTCCGATCGAGTGCTAAGTGCTTCTCAGTCCTGGGACCACAGACATTGAAACTGGCATTGTTTTGCTCTTCTTCTGCTTGATCCACCTGTCATCGTGGCTTAAGATGGGCATCCTCAGCATCTCTGGAGATGTGGCCTCCAAGGGCCTGAGAGGGGCTGTGGGCGTTTCTAGCAGAGGGAAGGAGTTGGTGTTCCCCACGTGTTAGCTATACTTTTCTTTGTGCTTCATTGGAAGAGAGGTAGAGCGGGCGCTTCCACACCGAGAAGAGCCCGGATTGTGGTCAGTACCATCAGGGGAATGACTGCCTGGCCTTGGCGTTGGTTAGATTGAAACCAATCCTAACACAGCTCCAAACAACTCTGGGGGTTTCCCTTCTCCATCCAGGGTGTCTCTCGCTTGGCGGTTTGGTCCCCCTGCTGGGGGGGGGCCTCTACAGAAGCCGTTCCCGCAACACCTGGGAAGTTGCAAACTCATCCGGTCACTGACAAAGGACGACATCAGAGAGAGAGAGAGAGAAAGAGAAAGAGAGAGAAAGAGAGAAAATCACCGTTTAAGAAGAGTCAGTGGGAGGGGAGGGGGACACCCGAAAAGGAGTCTACAACTGCCTTCTGTGTGTGGTCCTTCAAGAGGACCCGTGCCGCTCAGAAGCCACCCTGCACATCCTGCCAAGGCACAAAGCGACAAGGCCGTCTAACCGACAAGAAGCGACCCGGATGGTATTGCCTCAAGGGTCCCAGGTTACCGGAACCGCTTCACACCCTGCCACTCACATGAAGACTCTTCCACTGACCTCCGGCCAAGAGTCAGAAAATCCCCGCCTGCATCTCCTGGAGTGGAAGAATGGGGCCTCGTGGAAGGGCGATGAGATGGTTGATGTCTCTAAAGCAACAAGGACGGGTGGTTCTCCTGTGCCAAGGGAGGTAGCAAGAGGAAGGAGCAGCCACAGACGGCCTCCAGCGCACGGTGGCCCTCGGGCGCACTGCGCTCTGGGAGCCAGACGCGGTCCAAGCTGTGCTCTGGCGGAGTGTTGTGTTGTCCTGCCAACTGAGGGTCACTCCTGGGCCTTCTGTGGTTCAATGAGCTTCTAAAGGATTATCTAAAAGATCATCGGCTTGTAAACCTGAACAAATCTATAATGAAATGAAGGACCCAAAGGCATTTAATTATTGAACACATAAAAGGAAGTATATTTAAAAAAAAAATTGGTCAAACTGTCCTGTTAGTTATCATTTTAAAGGAATTTACAGGGCTGTTATAGATTATTCTTTTGGAATAATTCAGTTTATAGCAAATGCCTAAACTGGTTTCTTCATTGCACAGTATATTCTCTTAAAATGGGTGCTTTAAAACAATTACATACATATTAAAAATCCTCATTTCTTTGCTTAATTAAAACGTTAATACTCTCAGACAACACAGATCTGAAATGGTGAAACCAGCAACTCCCCCTCCCACCTTACAACAAATTAAATTGAGACAAAATTACAAACACATTTCACTATATGATTATTAATAAAAATCAGTTTTTTTTATAAAGTTGCCCGAAATGCAAGGGATGTGCATAGGTTTACAACTTAGTCATAATAGCATTTTATTCTTATTCCCCTGGGTGTGCCCCGTGAACGGAATGTACTTTGCTGTAGATTACAGATTGTTTTGTCCAACACAGACACACCGACGGCATAAACGCTCGCGACTGTCCACATGCATTAAGAGTCAAGACCCAACTTCAAATCTCTAAAAGGTTTACAGGGTGCTTCAAAGAGACAGTATCACATTATCTGGATGTTACATAAAGGACTTAAAAAAAAATACTAGTCTAAGAAAAAAAAAGAAAAAAGGCCTTTAAAAATTTATGACTGTTTTGTAATCACTAGACTGATTATTTCAAATAAATAAAGGAAAGAAAGTTATTCCAATCCATAAAATCAGACTCTAAAAAGAATGTAGTGTTCCACCCCCAGTCAAGGTAACAGAATCATTGTTTATTATTAAAATAGATTATAGAAAGCAGCATCTATTTTGTGCAGTTTTTAGGGGCCTTGGAAATAAAAAGCTATGATTTCCAAAAATATAACATTCCAAAGGATTGAATGATACATACATTTAAAGATACATTTTATTAAAGTTTAGGAGAACTGATTAAAAAAGATACTGTCTCTTTAAATTAGTGTGTAATTGTTTTTCTCCTCCTATCTATTCGGACATGACAATAATTATAAATGGAGGTCACACTACAACTAGGTAGTCTCTAGGGACCATGACCTGCTGACACAAGGCCGATAACAAAGAGGCTTTTCCACGGATGAGGTGGCTCCCGGGTAGGCGTCAGGTAGCTGGGGAGAGGCCTAATAGACCCAGGAGACCGGGACCCACTGCGGGGCTGTGCACACGAGCTCAACGGCTTCCTCCAGATGTCTGATTGTCTCATCAATTTCATTGTTGATAATTGTGAGATCGAAGTAGTGTGCGTATGTTCTCTGTAGGATATCGGACTCCTTCTGCAGGCGCTGGAGAGACTCATCCTAAAGGGCGAGGGGACGGAGGGCGGGGTGGGGAGGGAAGGGAGGAGCAAAGAGGGGACAGAAGTCAGCCGGATTCTCTTTCCACAGTTCTGCTCTTCCCAGGGGCAGACACGGTCAAGGCCAGACCTTGATGTGCTGCATCAGGGTACGAGGCCGAGTCTGCTTCATGACTGAGGCGACAGCGGGCCCCGGGATGGCAGGGTTATAGAGGAATGGCCTGCAGCCCGCTGGCTCCCCCTGCAATAGGAGCTCCAGGCCCCCCCCCCCCCCCCCCCCCCGCCCCAGAGAGCCCAGACTGCCTGGGGCCCCCCCCCCCCCCCCCCCCCCCCCCCAGCCCGGCGCCCCGCACCTCCCTCGGCCCTCTGCATGCGCCAGCACTGGGTCCCGGAGCCCCACTGCGTTTGCACCAAGAAGCCGCTGCCTCTGGCCAACAACTTCGGTTGTATTTTCCCCTTTTCTACTTCGAGGTCCAACGTGTTCCAGGAATTCAGTTACATCTAATGGCCGGCACTCAACAGCAGCGGTTGCCAGAGGCAAAAGCTTTTTGGGTGTTACAAATAATGGATGAAATGAGGCCATTTCTCAGCGACCATGGCAAGGAGCATCTGAGGAACCCCCTCGCAGCCGTCTACACTGGAGACTGCCGGACACGGGGCGCGGGGTAGGAGGACCCGAACCTCTGCGGGAAAAGCAGCTACAGAGCTCTCGGCTGCTCGGCTGCAGGGAAGGCCTTTCCTCCGCCCCTACGGCTTGCTGTGGATTTGGAGAGCCCTCCCCAGGCTGAGCGCACAGGAGGTGGCCCTGCGGGGTCCTTCGTTTGTCCCACGAGTTTCACTTTCAGCCTCAGGATGGCAGTTCTTTCAAGACTGGGATCCCTTAAGGGCCACCAGAAAGTCGGCCTCTGGGTCTTCATGGGGCGGATACTGTTATGCTGAAGTTTCAAGGGACGAATTCAAATTTGAAGCCAGAGAACTCCTAAGTCAACATCCCCCCTCTCCCCCAGCACCAGGCGGGTCACATGTCGGGCTGAGACACATGCGGAGAGATACGGCTCATACCTGCTTGTCTGATTAGCATCTCTCTCCCCAACTAGAGCGTCAGCTTGTCCCGTGTGCCCTGGCATTGCTGTGCCCAGCACTTGGCATTGTGCCGTGTACACAGTAAGCGCTTACTAGATGTTCCTTAAAAGAACAAGCACTTGGCTAACACTGGCCATGACAGGGTTTGAGGAACGTTAAATCCATCAAGACAGAAAGCTATGCTACTAGGAAATGGAGGCCCGTGATGACACAGACGCCCCTCCAGAAAAATGAAAGGATGTGGTGCCTTCAGGAACTTGGGAGCCATGGTGCCCCCAGCTGGCTTAGGACCCCTCCTCTTCTCTGAGGCCCATCCATTATTTGTGAGAAACCCTTCCTGAAGAGCCCCGGTCTGTGGGGGCAACTCTCTGGAGAGGGATCGAAAGTGAGGTCACTCGATCCCATGGTGGCACCGCGGTGGGGGTGCATGGAGAGCAGGGAAGCTGGGGGCTCCATCTGCTCTGTCAGGACGCTCTGAAACGAGTGTCCTCCGTGTTTGGTCGCCTTCTACTGGGAATGTCACAGCAGGGCATCGTATGCTTGGATGTTGGCTGTTAACGGCTACGGGCGTAGATAAGACCTCAGTTAATCACCACCTTCTAAGGTCCTATCAACACACTCTCCGCTGGCGCCTAAAAAGCATAGTATTTTCACTGTCGCTCTACTTTACCGCAAACAACATAAAAGCCCCGTTTTGGGAAACACTCCTTCGTCTGAGGCCGGGAGCGCTTCTTGCCCATGTGAGAAGATACAGTTCCCAGCGCGTCACCCTCTGGGCTAGAGGATTCCACGGAAACCCAGGCCCGGGCTTCAGAAAGCACCAGCAGAGTTTATGATTTGCTCCAGGAGCTGGGCTGATGAAAACATTCAAGAAAATTTACAGCTGATGGCATCAGTTTTTATTGGAATTCTCTTTATGGAAAAAGAGCGCTTTCCTCTTAAGGCCCGTATAAGACAAAATTGTATTCGTGGGTTTCCTCCTCGGCAACAGCCCGTCTGGGGGCTTGCCTCACGCACCAGCAGAGTTCAACTCAGTGAAAACAAAATGCCTCTATTCTAACAGCCAAAGCCAGGATTTATGGGGAGAGAGGGTCTACCTTCTAAATCTAGGGAAGAAAACGAGGCTGTATTTCATCACCTCCTAGCTGGTACTTACGGGCAGTTTTCTGCACCATTTTGGCAGCTGTGGAAAGTTAGTAAAAGGGTGGGGAAAATAGGCAAAAAAACAAAAACAAAAAAAGCAGTGATAACTCAAGAAAAATACACGGCACCCAAAGGAAAAGCGCTAAGCACAGTGCAGGGCTTCGGGCATGCTGGTGTATTAACGAACACGGGAAAGTAGAGCTCATGCAAATGAAAGGACTGAAAAGATGAGTAACCTGCACATGTAAAGACTGACTCTTCCTTACAGGTACACAAAGTGCCATTTCCAAGCCCTGACTGTACTGTCACTAGCTTGGGGGGTTTAGAGGGGTGATCACCGAACAGAGCCGAGAGCCCTCTGCTGGCGGGTCGGCCCAGCCGAAGCAACGGATAACCCTGCGCAGGAGCCTCAAGAGTGAGCCTATGGCAGGTGGGCACCCACGCTCTTACCAGACACACCGAAACTCCCTCAGCGTCCGCCCAGCCACGACAGGCCCTCGGAGTCAGTGGGTGCTAGAGGGTGACGCCAACTCTGGCGAGCACCCATCTCTGCGCCGCTGAGCTGAGCTGGCCTGAGAGGGGACAGAGCTCGTCTCTGGGTGGGGCCGTCTCCGGGGACCTACGTGGGTCCCACTCCAGAGGCCGCCTCAGGGCCCTCGGGCCAAGGTCCTGGCTTCCTTAGAGCTCTCTCCCGGCAAAGCGCTCTTTGGCCTAGAGCCGGGCCCGGGGGTGGCACCTTTCCTCCCTGGTGCCGTCGGGAGGGAGTGGGCCCGGCCGGCCTCTGGCCCTCCATCCGGCGGCTGCCTGGGACGGCGCTTTGGTCCGGAGGGTACAAGGGCGGGGGGTCCTTGCGCTGGGCGGCGGACGCGCAGAGCCTTACCTCGTTCAGACCCGGAGTGATGGTGGGCGCGGCGATGAAGACAACGAACGGCGCGAACTCGGCGGTTCTCAGGACCTTGAGCGCCTGCGGATGGAACACACGGGAGACTGAGACCCAGAGCGAGCAGGTGCGACTGTCACCGAGTCTGCCCGAAAGGACCCATGACTCACTTCTGGCGAGGCAGGCGTACACTTACCAGCTGCCTCAGTAACCCCTCAGACTCTTTTCCTTCCCGAGGATGGAGGGCGGCCACCAGCGAGTAAAAGGGGACAGACCGGACATTTATGAGTCTCCTGAATCAGTCGGATCGCCTTTTCTTCAGAAAGGTCAACACCGACTGCGCTGGCTAATGTTCATTTAAGCCTGCCTGTGAACGCCAGCCCGCCTCGGGAGCGCCGAGGAAATGCGCTTCGGGTGGACCCGGGCCAGCAGCTGGCTCTGCCCTCATCTACAGCCCGCTTCACCATAGCTTCACGTTCAAATTGCTCATGGGGCTAGCATGCCCTGGCCCCGGGCACTGCCAGGCCTTGAGTCCCCCTGCCGAAAGGCTGCGGGGGGGTGGGGGGTGGCCCGGAGACCTGGTCCAGGGCTGGAGGCTGGAGCCATTACAGGCGCTCTGAGGCCCCAGGTAGTTGGCAGGCCCACAGGAGGGGGCTCGGAGGCCGGTTCAGTTCCCCTCCCAGGCATGACCACCCGGGACAGCGTGAGCTCCCAGTCTGCAGGGACGCGGTGCCAAGCTGGTGCACCGTGCCCCAGGACTGGATTCTGGCACGGACTTACTCATCAGCTCCCCGCATGAGGATGTGAGTCTCCCAGGGCTTGGGGCCTCCCCGCCATAGGACAAAACCCCAGCATCTGCAGGCACACACTTCACGAGGGACTGGTGTGTCACTGATTTGTCTGCGGGGGGGGGGGGGGGGGGGGGGGGGGGGTGAAGGACGCCTTGCTGTCCTTTATACGAGCATGTACGGTGTCTATTCTGTCATCTGCATCGTTCGCTTTGCCCTATTCCTCCCTCTTTTGCCTGGTTTACCGTGGTAGCAATTAGACGGGTCACTCTGCCTCTGTACTAAAGCCCGCCGCTAGAATGATCGATCTGATCTTTCGGCGAGGCAAATCCCACCGTATTGCTGCTCTGCTCCAAACCCTTCCAGGGCTCCCTCTTGGCCTGGGGATAGAATGTCCGCTCCTTAGCATAAATGCCGGCTCCCTCCCTCCTGCACTGGTCTGTGCTTACCTCATCCCCTTCCCCTCTGTGGACTGGCCTTGCTGAACTACTTCCAGTTCCAGAAAGGGCCATGCTCTCTCTGGTTTCCCAGCTTTTTTCCTTACTACTCCCTCTGCCTGGACCCTCTGTCCCCATTCTCCCTTTTGGCTTGGCTGAGTGAGCCTTCGGCACTTGGCACTGGTGTTCTTTTGTCTTAGTCCTTTTTGAGTTCAGAGCCAGGTCAGGAGCCCCTCCCGGTTCCCCCTGGGGTACCCGCCACACACGCAAGCGCCCGGACACTTGACGGTGAGCTTGAGGGCAGGGGCTGGGTCTTGTTCGGTTGCCTCCCTCGTGGCCTACACGGCACCTCACATAAACGGTCTTTATGCTGAAATGAAAGTGTAAAAGTGGCACGAATGATTGGCAGAAAATGTTCGACTGTTGGGCACTGGGCTTGGTGGCTAAAGGGAGCCTCCTGGGCCTCTGAATATACAGGCTCGGGAGAGACCATCGGGACGATAAAGGTTTAGTGCAAGGTTCACGTGCGCTGGGATTAGGTTTCTGAATCTCTGCGATCCAGGCGCTCCTTGGGGGCTACGGGAGCCTGGCACGTCGTGTCACCTGTCAGATCACAGTGCTTCAGTTGTGAACGTCATACTCCCCTCTGAGAAAGCTCTTCAAGCCTGCCTATGTTCATTTTTGACAGAGATAATTGGCAATTTCTTTGCCAACCCTTCTGTGATTGAAGACTTTAGCAGGCAATAAACACCATGGAAAAGTGCATCTATAGCTCGCTTGAGCTTAACGGGGAATTTTCCTTTAGAAATCCTTGTCGTCAGTATTATCTTGGGCCTCCCCCCCCGCCCCACCCCCATCCTTCCCGTGTTCATTGGTCAGGAGGCTACAGGGTCCGTGGAGACAGAAGGTAGCCTCATCCACCCACAGCCAGCCTCTGGGCAGCTAGGCGGGTTGGATTTTCAAGCGCACAGTTCCTCCCCTTGCTTCCGTCCCTGACTACCCAAGGGCTGGATGGAGGTCTGCACAGCCGCGATGCTGAATGGAACCCACGGGCGAAGTTGAGGAGAACACCCCAGGCGTGAAGTGGTCTTCTCTCTGCTCAGTGGCCCCAGCCTGCCAGCCACCCAATTCTTCGAATTATCTTAAGTTCTAACCTGCTATCGTACTGCAACACCCGAAAGCACGCTCCCCTTCTCTGCACAGCACGCGGGCCCTTCGCCTTCATCCATCTGGATGCGAAGGTCATCCCGTGCTTACTGCACACAGCGGTCACTGAAGGCTGTGCTCGTCCCCCTGCCCGGTACCTCCTGTGTCCAAGAACCCGGTTCTATTCCCGGAGCAGTTAATTCCAAGGGAAGAACTGGTGTACTTCTAGGAGATCCAGGACGCCCCCCCCCCCCCCGCCCCGGCATCCTGCCTGCCGGGAGGGTCAGAGCCAACCCACATGCCGATCACAGTAGCTACGGGAGCCTTTTCGGGGCTTTGATTTTCGATTTCTAGCCTATGTTCCATTTTTTTTTCTGTTAAATTTTCAAAAATGAAAAGACCCCTCACATCGGGACTGAGATTTTCTTGTCTGGTAGCCCTCAGATCTTCAGCAGAGTCACCACACATTTCCTCAGTGGTTCCTGAAGGGCTGTGTCCCCAAACTCTGCTCTACTTATGGGTCTCCAGCGGGGGCTTCGGAGCAGTCTCAGCTTGCCTGAGGCCCAGGGTCACTTGAGGACAGCAACCAGAATGGCTTCACAAGGATTCCCTTCCCTCAAGCTGTTAATGGGGGACTTCAAGAGGTCTCTAAACCCCCTTCTTTTCTGACTGAAGATGAGACACAAATCTGTCAGTATTCACAGGGAAGGTCTCTGAATCCTAGAGAGGAGGGAGAATCTAGAAAGATCGCTGAAAAGATGGATTCAAACAGCCAAAGCACCATTTTAACATTTTAAGTCTTTAGTTCTCTTCTGTGGAGACAAATTGATTTTATGGCTCCTATATGGCCGACAGTTCATCCCTGGTTACCCCCCGTAAGGAACGAAAACAGATTTGACCAAGTATCCACGATGCAGATATCTTGAAGACAGATCTGTTTTGCAAACTTATAAAGTACATAAGGGCAAGTGTCTGAGTCGTTTTATACAAAAATGTTAAGGGTTCAAGGAAGAGCACAGTGACCCCAGAGATCAGCTTTCACAAAACAACCCCGGGCTCAGACCCTGGCTCTTGTTCCCAAGCGTAGATCCCCCAACAAGACTGCAGCTACCCCGGCTACCCCTTGCGGATGACCGTTCCCTCTCTGGGCAAGAGCAAATCCACAAATATTTTGCTACTGTGAACTTTTTAAAGCAGCAAATGGATAAACCAGAATAAAATTAAAATCTGAAAACTAAAACCATCACAGTAAGGTTCAGTGATACCCTGGCGCTATCACAGATTATTTTCAGAGTCAGGGCTGTATTTCCATGAGAAAGAAGCTCTATAGTTCTTCCTCGGGTTTGACTGCCTTATCGATTTTTCTAAACATTAAAAAAAAAAAAAGATTTAAATCTTACGACTACATACAAGGTGGACAAGCTTGAGGATTCCCAGGGTCACCTCTTCCAGGAGGCTGGGGCTGACTGTACGAAAACCAAAGCCCAGACCAACGCTGTCCAAGTTCTAACCTCACTTTTGGGTGGTTGTAAAACCTTGCTTGAGTCACAGTTTTGTTACACCTTGGTTCTTCATCTATGAAAGCCAATACTGATACCTCTGTCTCAGGGTTCCAAGGAGTCAGGAAAGAGTACTCGTGCTTGCAAAATACACAGCACAGTAGGAACACATCCTGTTCTCATTTTAAAAGAAGACAGGTTGCTAGTTTGCTTCTAGTTTAATCTTCTTTACGGTGGCCCTCTAAGTTTAAAGTTGGACCACAGCGTCTTAACATATAGTATTAGACATGGGTTCGATTTGGCCTGACCTGTCTAAAATAAGCTAAGATAGCATGAAATAACAGATCCGAACTCAGTGAGCCGAACACCAGTGTTGGGTGGTCTCCCTATGGTCCCCAGGTCAGCGGTGGCAGACGTGAGTGGGGTTGAGAATGCCACATGGCATTTCTCCCGTTAGGGAGATGTTGATGTACGTCGAGGGATGAATTTCATCCTCACCAGCTTATTTGTATTCTAAGCTCCTGACACAACACTTGGAATAAGGTAAGTGCTCCATACAAGCTGGCTGAGTCAAGCTGTCCATGGGATACAGTGGGGGCCTGGGGTGGGACTCAGACAAGGTGGGGTGGGAAAGGGCGAGGAGAAAGGCATCCTAAGGACAGAGCCTCCTGGAGCCGGGCATCCGGCAGGCAGAGCGCCGGCCTTGGTCCAGCCCGGGGGGAGAGAGGGGGCTGAAGGCAGGGCAGCCCGAGGGCAAAGCCTAGGGGGTGCGGACCCCGTGGGCATCTGGAGCTGCACATCTGAGCACCAAGTCCGCGTGGGAGCGGGACCGGACTTGAGTCTAGACGGGGCCAGTGTGGTCCACCAGACCAACGAGAGGAGCAGGACCTGGGCGATCCCTGTTGCTACCCTCGGGGGTGGGGGGCCCTGGGAGAGAGGAATGCGGTCAGCTCCGCCAGGAGTCAGGGGAGCAGGGAAAGTGCCCAGCCTGGGGCGAGTGGCGCTCTGGTGGCCGGTGCCACTCGTCAGAGTGACCGCTGGGGCTGTCCTGATAAGGCCGTGCGGTGTGTCCCGCTCAGCAGTGCAGAGTGATGCATGCCTGGGCAAGGGTGCGGGGAGAGCCGGGCGCCAGGAGGACAGCAAGCCCTCGAAAGTGGACTTGGGTAACGTGGAGGGGCGCCGTGGGGCCCGGCCGCCAGCATACTGCTAGACGTTACTACCAGCAGAGGACGACGTTCAGGCGGAGACCAGTGTGGAACCCACGGGGAGGATGGCGAAGACCAGGCCCGGGATTGAGACTCTGCCTCTAGCCACCCCTGGCCAGGAGATTTTTCCAATCCCTAGTAAGGAGGGATTCGGAGTTAAACAAAAATCACACTACATGACATATTGTATATTTACTTCTCTATGGGTCCAAGTTAACTGCCGGGTAAACTGGATGGCGTTCACTGCCTTGACCAGATTCCAAGTTCAAGAACCCCATCAGGTGCTGTGAAATGGAAACAGGGGAGCCCACTGGCCATGACAGCAGGATCTTGGAGCCGAGTGACTGAGCTGTCAGGCCTCGGGTCACACGGACCCTGCTGACCCAGCTTCCGTCCTCCCTTTGGGGATGGCTAGAGGACCAAGTCCCATAGGGTGGCCCTTGAACAGGGTTTGGGACAGTAAGGGAAGCCTGGTGCAATGAGGCCTGCTTGGGGGAGCTGCTCTGCCGTTTGGGCAGATGATTCTGTCTGTAAGGGGTAGGGATGTGGGACGCAGACCGGTCTTAGAAATGGCAGGCCCAGGAGCCACAGCGGCACCCATGAGCCTGTCCTGTAACTCGCCCCGGTGTCTGCAACATCCATTTCTGGGTTTTAGGTCCCCCTTCTGCTTGGTTTGTCCTCGGAGATTAAACAAACAAACAAAAAAAGCTAAGCTGACAGGCTATTTTTTAAAGTCCTCTCTACGCCCAATGTGGGGCTCAAACTCATGACCGACCCTGAGATCAAGAGTTGGATGCTCTGCTGACTGAGCCCGCCAGGCGCCCCAGGTTGTCAGCATTTTTGACGCAAGGCCTTTCTTACATGTTTGAGGTGTGGCTTTCTCCTTTTTGAGTTGAATAATTGCTATTACTTCGAGCCTGGGGCTTCCCTATAGATTATCCAGTCATTCCTGTGTCTGGCTTGGAGTCCTCTAAGCTCTCCGTATCCTTCCCAGTTTTAGCCTGGGGTCAGGCATCATTCTCACTAAAGAGCCGGCAGAGGCTGAGAACCACCATGGGTCTACAGTCCCGCTCCATCAGGCATCCCCTGGGCTCACTCAGGCTTGCCTCCCTAAAGCACGGGCTGTGTTTCAGACCAGACTCAGGCCCCAGGATCCGAGCTCCCTGCTGCTGATCCATAGAAGATGCTGGCAGAGGCTCTGATGGGCCAATGTGAGCCGTACCGAGGGGGAAAGGTGGCTGTTGGGATAACTGGGGGCCAGTCTCACCCTGAGGTCACGTTAGTGTTGGGTTTTTGGCAGGCACAGACCCAGTCAGGTACTTTTATGGAGCTTCTGAGTAGAATGAATCCTGTAAGAGCATACTGTTGCTGCTTAACTACTCGGCGTGTGCACCGAGCCCAGGGAGCAGCCAGTTCGTATTCTAGACCGTTAGCCCACGGGGCCTGTGCTGCTGATACTGTCCCGTAGTTTATGAGGTTAGCGTAGGGCCCATGCCCTTCTGAGGTCAGAAGCCCGGCTGAGCAGGCGGGCAGGCTGACGGGGGCTGCGAGTGGCTGCGTGTTACCTGAGGCTCCACATCCAGGATTGCGATCAGCCCCTGCTCGTGGATCTTCCGGATGGTCTCCAGTTTTGTCCCATACATCGCATCCTCGTGGCTGCCATACTCCAGGTACTCATTATTCGAGATGTCTTGCATCATTTGGTCATGAGATACAAAGTAGTAATTCTTTCCATTTTCTTCATCTTTCTTTGGAGGTCTGGTTGTATCTGCAAAGAAAGTCACATATCATGAAAGGCTCAAAAGGCTGAGCTCATGAGCTGACGCTCCCCCATGGACTTACCCAAGCCCCATCTCTTCTTAAAAGCTGTGGCTTCTTTAGTATATGTCCCATGCCCTGTTCCCACCCCCAGGAGCTTTGTAGAACTAACTTCTCGACACCGTATTCATCTGTGTGACATCAGACCACAGTAGCTGGCTAGTTGTTTCGTTTGGTGAATCTTTCGGTGTTCAGATGAGATTTAGTTCATCCCTTTGTGGGTCACCACGGGAGAAAGACACCGAATGACCCAAGATGAACATAACTTACTGTATGCCTTAATGCAGTTAGGTCTTAAGCAGAAGGAAAAAAGCAGTAAGAAAAAATGGAAAACCACACAGTTATTTAAATTTAAAGAAATTAAAATTAAATAAAATGAAAACGTCAGTTCCTCAGTCTCACTAGCCACATTTCAAGGGTTCAGTGTGGCTACTGGCTGGTGTAGTGGACTGTGCAGATATTGAAAACTGTCACTGTCAGAGAAAGTTCTGTAAGTTCTATTGGATAGTGTCGGTCTACGGCAGCGTTCTAAAGGAGATTGTTAGAATACAGCAAAAGGTGTACTGCATTGAGAATACAATGACCTTGGCCAGATGTGGCCACAGCAGTTAGTAAAGACCTATGCCATGAGTTGGCAAGCTACGGCCTGTGAGCCAAATAGGGTCTGTTTCTGTAAATAAAGTTTTATTGGAAAACATCCATGCCTGTTTGTTTCCATGCCGACTGTGTCTCCTTTCATGCGACAGTGGCAGATTGGAGTAGTTGTGACAGGGACCAGATGGCTGTCCAAGCCTCAAATATTTACTATCTAGTCCTTTATGGAAAAGGTTTGCTGACTCCTGACCTAAGGGGATGTATCCTAAAATATCGGCCAGTAAGTCCTAGTTCTGGGGGATACTGACAGGACCAGTGTTCCGTAAAACACTGTTTAGAAAATGTTTTTTCTAGCCAAGCCAGGAACACTGGTTTAAATCTTCCTTCCTCCCACTACTTTTCCCCTCTCTTTCCTCTTTCCTTCCCCCTCCCTTTCTTTCAACTTCCTTCCTTGAGCATGGACAAATTATTGCTCCTCTTTGCCATGTGCATGGATCCAAACCCACGGGGACCTCCCCCCTTCCTGCCCCGGCTAGACCGTTAGAACCTACAAGTGCTCATGGGCACCCAGATGTTCAGGTTTTAAAGAGCTCTTTCTCCAGGCACAGGAAAAGGTGACGAAATGGCATTGTGTATTGATGCTGTACTATCCTTAGTCATCTCGGGAGGTAAACATATGCTCTGTACACGTCTGGGGTCCAATATCTGAGAGAGGGACTTCATGAGCGAGGTTGGCAATGGTATGCTTCAAAACCAAGCCAGCCAACTGGCCATTTAATAACATGGACGTTCAATTGTTATGTGCTCAAGAAGAGACTAGATGTTACTTAGTTGAGCTTGCTGTACTCAAGATCTAGACACGAGAATCAAAAGAGCAGTTCAAAGTGTTTTACTGACCAACTGAAATGGTATCTGATGAAGTTCCTTTTTTTTTTTTTTTTTTTGTAAATCAGATAGGGTTCTGGAGGGGAGGGTGTCATCTTAGGAAGCCTCACGGCTCTCTGGGGTGGAACGGAACCCGCAAGTAGTGTTGGTGTGGCTTCTGGAAGGCACTGGAAGGCCCTACTGGGTGGAGTCCATCTTCCCATTTTCTCTCTTTGCTCTTACAACTCCTTCTTTAGTCCTCCCCACCTCCAGCAAAACTCTACCTATCAGAAAGCTTTTGGGATTCAGATTGTAAACTCTGGAATAACAAGACTAAAAACAATGCCAGCAGTAGCAGGGCTGCTATTTATCCGGTATTTGCTGGTGCTTCCTGATCCCAGGCCCTCTGTACATTCTTGGAATTACTTCATCTTATAGTTGAGGAAACAGAGGGCAAGAAGTTAAGGGTAAGACAGAAGAACTAAGGGGAATAAAAATGTTACATATTTAAAATTCTTTATAATAAACAACTGATAGCACACTGGGTTTTAAAAGGGATGAAAGTCAAATTAACTTGGGTATGTTTAAGGAGAACATTGTTCTATCAAAGAAAACTATCCTATCATTCAGATCAATTCTTCTGAAGAATAAGTCATCTGAGTCATGTTTATGCCACTCTGCTGGGAAAATCAGGTTACAGACAGGATGGATGAGCCCAATTTTGTTAAAAAACAACAAACAAATAAATCACACACGACCTACATCTGCAATCAGAGAAGCCTGGGAGAGTCTACAACAGAATGTTTTATAGCACCATTACTGGGGGAATGGGGTTGGGATTATTAACTCAGTTTCTGCTTTGTTTGTCTTTGGATCTTGCAAATTTCCCATAATGAGCAGTGATTACTTAAGTAACAGAAAACAGTATGTCAATTACAATATTAAAAAAGTACCAGGAAAAATAAACTTAAAGGAGAGTGAGACATTGCTTACGTGGAATAGGGTATGCAAACCGGTCTGGGTGCTTTGTGATGAGGGTGTTTTTTATGTGTCTTCTCCCAACACCGTGCGCACCTATGTCATTTTTTAAAAAGGTAAAATTGACAATTGTTAATAATACTTGCAGGATGTTTTGAAGATGAGACTAAGAAAGCCACTTGTACAATCAAACTTACCTAACAAGACTAGTGTTTTCCTTTTGAATGCTGGCAGTTTTACTACTTCTTCATATGTAACAAGATCTAATTGATCAAACACTAAAATGCAAAGAGTTAGAAGAAAGGTAAATTTACAGAAGGAGTATTTCATGTGTGTCACTTATAATTTTACTGGTAGAACTAAAGTTATAGTAAACCATGTCTTCAAAAAATACGAGTCCAACTTATATCCGTAGCTTACATGTAATTTTAGTCCTATAACCTTTTGGGAGAAAATTTCAGTTTTAAGCCCATGAAAATGCACTTTAGAACCAGGGGCATCCAAAGATTATGTTGAGCACATGCATAAAAGTCCAAATTCTAAGAGATACTGCATATCTTGTCATGCGGTATCCAACAAGTCAAGTCATACAAAGTCATTCAAAAACCACATGCTGTTCATATTTTTGCAATTCTAAGAAATCAGCAATACTAAAAAGAAAAAATCTGCAGACAGTGACCGACATGAATATAGCATGAATGCAACTAAAGTTAACCATGAAAGAGGCCACTAGATTATCTCTAGGGATGGATGAGAGACGCATGGACAGCTGGTCTTTGACTTCATGGTTCTTTCTTTCAATAGAGTTGCTGAGGGTAGCATGCTAGATTTCTTTCAAAGTCAAGTTCTGTAACTGTGATTTCACAAGCTTTTGAAACGAGCATCCCACAAGTTTTACTGTAACCAGCTATCCATTCGATGGAAAGTCTTGGGTATCTTAAGTAGGGGGACATGCTTCCCTGGGCCCCGAACTTTGTCAGCCTGTGTGCCATAAGTCAGGATGGACAGAATGGAAAGAAGCATGAAGCAGAGTCTGAGCTCAGAAACCTTTGCAAAAGGGGAGTTCTCTGATCATTACAGACTGAGAGGAAATGCTTTCAAAAATGGTTTTTGGAAACCTGCCTCTTAACAAAACTGTTACAAAAACCTTCCTGAGAGGATGACCATTCCTGTTGAAGTTCAAGGTAGTCCATTTGAAAATTCTCACAAGGCGGCTAAAATCATGAGTCAATGTTTCCTGTAATAGTTTTCTGTGTGGTAATACCCAAATGTTGCCAGGCACACTCTGAAATATCTTTTTTTTTAAGAAGACTCAATAAAGCTCTAGATTTCAGAAGGGTTGAAATAAATTCAATACGATTGATTCCATGGTGCCGTAAAGGGGTCTGGGATGCTTCAGTCAATCACTAAGAGAAGCTTCTCCTCCCTGAAACAATATGGCCAAATGCTTTTTTGGCTCTCAGCTCAGTCCTTAACATTTGTGATCTTCCCAGTAGCAAAGAACCTTAAAATGCAAAATAGGATATTCTCGAGTGCAACAGATCAGAGACAAACAAACGAACAAAAGTATCATTCCCAGGCTATTAAAAAAAAAAAAAAAGAAATACAATGTGTTAAAATAAGGGTTAGTGCATGTTAATGGGTTATCTGTGCCTTTGTTTCCTTTTGATAGCTTGATTCCAGGAAGGTTGACTCAAAGTCTTTAATTCTCTAGCAACAGCTAAAAACCAAGAAATGCTTTCTGTGTTTAGAATGGCAGACTCCCCAAATCAAAACGAACATGAAGTTCTGTGCGTGCTCGAGCTGGCTGGTCATGCTGCAGTGATTACGGAGTGTCAGAGTTGCAAAAAGAAAAGCAGGAGTGCTTACGGCATCGCTCTTTATACCCACTGCCCTCTGAGTGAGATTTCCATCGAGAAAAAGGATGCTATGAAAGAGGTGCGTCAACAAGCTGATATATTCTAATATAAAAAAAATAATCAAGCATCTCACAAAAGAGCAAGATGATGGCACAAGCTTTTGGAATGGCATCCTCCCCACTTACGACTGGTCATTTTTTTTTAGACACACATAAGAATGAGTTAGAGATCAACAATCAACAGCACGGACAAATGAACAGGTATGTTACACATCGATATCTTAACCATAAACGAGTAGCATGAAGAGGTTACTCTGGTCTAAGTGAAATCAGCACGTGGTCATAGGATCGAGAAACAATAAAAGAGTATTTAAAAATAAGACATACAAGGAATATAAGGAGAACACTTAAAGGCTGAACTTTTAAAAGTTTTATGTTGTTTGTGGATTTTTTTTTTTTGTAAAAGGACTGAATGAAAGGAAACCATCAAAAACAAAGAGGCATAGTCACTCAACAGGTTACTTACATGCACAGAGGCCATTGGGAGTAAGACAGCATGAAAAATGTACAGGGGTCATTGAAATATGGCTTTTAATATATTAGTAAAATAAAAGTATAATATGCACAAAAGAAACTTTACCATGCAATATTCTAAACACGAGGCAAATAAATCACATTAAGAAACAAACTCATTTTAATAAAAATCCAACAATATCCTTATATAAAAGCCAGTGGGTTTTGATTTGCTAGCAATATGCATGGACAGCTGGTCTAGGCATAGTTACGAGACACCTTCCTCAGGAAGTGTAGGTGTGGAAGCCTTTTGCTTTTGTTTGTACCTTCCTGTACTGTTTGCAATTTCGAATCACAGGTGCCTATTACTTTTATTAAAAAAAAAACAAAGCCAACAGGGCAGTGGGATTGATGGACCACTCTTTGTTGTCTTAAGAGTTCTCTGTATTGAAGAGAAAAAGGTAATAGTTTTTAAAAACCTATTCAATTACTAATTTGTGGTATTAAGCATCATTTAAGCAAGCCTATGAATGGTATTGTAGAAACCCTCTGGGTTCATGTGTATGTATGTAAATAGACTATCTTGGGATATTGAAATACCACTGCTCAAGGCTCTAACAGTTAAAAAAATGAATTAATGAAGACTGTTTTTTCCCCTCAAGTTTACGTTAGTAACTTGATCTTGAAACTGATTTTGGAAGTCCTAGGGATGAGGAATCTCAGTGCCTCAAGAGTATAGTTCTAGCAGCCTGACAATGCTTTTTGCATCAAATTTATGTGGCTAAACATCTTTTACGTGTTGCAGAAAATGTATTTGCTGTAAACACTACACACATCACAATCAAATCTATTCCCAAGGCTTCAGAAATACTGTCTGGCATAGTCTGCTCATACTATCCTGATTTCCTGGTAAGCTACTCAATATTCATGACACTTTTATGTGTTTAGGTATTTTCCAGTTGAATCTTTTCCATAAATAAGCCTTTAGCATCGAATCCTTTTCTCATTTGGAAAAAGTATAAGTATATTCAAATACTGTAAAAACCTCCCATTAGAAAAGGCCTCGCACACTGATAACTCGGGCTGGGCGCGCACTCAGCTGCCTGCAGCGGCTGGATGGGCAGTGAATGCGTCTGGGTGCGCGGGCCGGGTGCACAAATGTAGCACTGGGTCCTAGGGAATGAGTGTCCAGCCAAAAGGGACATCGACAACCCGGTGGCACTATGGGAGAAAGGGGGCCTAGTGTCGCCACATTTCTCTTTTTTTTTTTCAAGACAAGGCAGAAACCCAGATTTTTATGTTAAATATCCGATTTTCAAATGTAATACCTAGTTACAATTCTTTCAAATACCGTGTATGGGGAAAACAAAACTAATTTATCGGTCATATCCAGCTAACAGACTGTCATTTTATAATGTGAGATGGAGGTGACACAGCTTGAACAGAATTCTGCTATAGCTAGACACTTGGGATGTCCCTGTGACAGAAATGGGAACAATTCTAGTATCATCGTTCCCATCAGTTCTAGACACTGACCAAGTTCCCATCTTTCATTTTTACTACAAACATAAACAACTTCAGAATTTGATGAGAAGGTGTGGATCTTGCCATCAATATCTGCTGAATTCTCAAAGATTTGAAGCAGGAAATAAGACACACGGCCCTTATTTGGATTGGACGAGGACTAGAATATTCCCGCCCCCCACCCGCTGTATTTGACAATCAACTTCTGAAAAAGCCAGAAAAATCCTTCAGAGGAAATACTGTTTGATTTGTGGCCCATGAGCCCATTTGGCTAGTTCTTGGCATTAAAGAATATGATGTTTCAAAGTTCTCAAAGCACCCGCCGTACTGACGGAGTTCAGTAGTATATTTCTCTTTCACACCAGGTCCTTATGTAGGCCTCGTCGCATGTTCAGATGGCCTTTCATCATGGCTCAAGGCAGAACAGCTGATAAAATACCTGACTTCCCTTTCCTGACAACTTCATCTCTTGTCAAGCAAAGGTGACCACTAAGTAAATGGTTCTTGTGGTCTTTGTCGTGAACAAAATGGAAGGGTTGGTGGGTGAAGGGGAAGGAGCCTGAAGAGATGGTGACAGAAAGGCCTTGCCAGGCAGCATGCTTCAGGAAGTCCAGGAAAAAAGCTGGACATCTTCTCCCCGAGCAGAAACACCAATAGGAGAGCTCGTGAGGCTTGATTTGGGGGTGGGGGCAGGCAGTGGGCAGGGGATCCCAGCAGGGACATTCTGGCTAGACCATCACAAATACACCTAAACACAAGTGCTACAAGGAACTGTGAGTGGCTCTCCAAGGACCTTATAAGACATTGAGACTTTACATCAACAGGCGTGAAAGGAAGGTCCCACATGCAGTGACAAATACTGACACACAGAGGGGACTGTAAGCATGATGGGGACAGCTCGGCGGCCCCGAAGACCACTGCTTTGGAAAATGCTGAAGATAACAAAACAGTGGTGGAGGTGGGGCTCCCCGCTTCCTCCCTAAGTTATAAATTTACAAGAACTTGGATAGGTCCATGGTTTTGCATAGGAGGTGTAATGTCCGAAGATGATAGAGAAAAAAGCAATTCTATTCCATCCCTAGGAGGCTCCTGCCTTCTGTTATCAAGGGCGAGACCCTTCGAACTTGATAGGCAGTGTTTGCCAGAGCTCAAGCCTGAGATGAGGGGCAGTAAATGAGTGCCTGGCTTCATTAAATGCTACCCATTTGTTAGGCCCAGTGAGGAAAGCAGCGGAGATGCCCTGAGTTTTAGAATTAGAAAAGGATGTCTTTCACTGACTAAGCCAATCTCCTCGTTTCGGGGCCCACAGGAGCTGAGTGATTTGCCCAGGCTGTGGGGCCACTCGGGTGCCAATTTCGGACCCCGTCTCACTCAGGTTGCCCGTTAGGCTTACAGGTGTGTTTTCAGGACCACTGAGCACCACCTACGAGGGAGTCGGGCAGGGCGGGGACAGTGGAAGATCAGTCATGGCCGTGGTGGAAGAATGGAGAAAGTGATCTGTGGAAAACATTGGCCACCAGATTGCATGCTGATTCTCTGACAAAATTCTTGAGTGAACGAGTCAATGGTTCTTTGTCAGAATGGAGAGATTCTAGTTTTCTAATCAACTGGCTTCTTATTTTCCCTCACAGCTGAATTAAAGAATATTGGCATGTTGAATACTTATGTCTACATGTCCTCCATTAGGAGAGTATAAAGCTAGTGATGGATTAATAACCTTAATCAGCCATCAATTTGCTTTTCTTTCTAGGTTCAAATTATAATGCCAGCTATATCTATACATCACTTAAAATTATAAAAACGATAAGGTTTTATATATGTATGTACATATATAAAATGTCAACACATCTTGTGAGCCCGTTAGAAGCTGAAGGAAATGAAGATGACTTGGTAGTAACCACTGACGTTTCGTGTTAAATGACATTCTGCTGACATTACAGTGAACGTCTTCAAAAAGCACTACTTGAGCATTTACAATTAACAGTCGCTAAGTTATGTTTAATCTGTCTTAAATATTTCTTCCCTTTACAAGACAAAAAAAAAAAGCGCCATTGTCAGACTAGTGCTCTGTGGTGGTAAAGAATCAGAAAGGATATATTTTATTGGAATTAAAAATGGGGTACAGTGTGGCCAACATGAAGGGAATGACTCCTCATTTAACTGAATCATTTGAAATGAACCTGTGGCCACTCACGTTCATCCCACGTGATGCAGTATTTCAAAATGCATACTTTTACTTGCTGATTAAGAAATGAGCAATTCAGAGTTTGTAAATAATTTTCCCTGGTGGATGTTAACTACATTAACATTCTACAGAGTGCATTTCATATTTCTCAGAAATATTATACTGTCAAATTGGGTATACATGACTGCATTCATTTGGGTTTTTTTTGGCCACATGTTTGATTTTTGGAGTTATTTCTGAAACCTTGGGAACTAATCTAATGCCAGTACTGGGGCTTGAATTCCTCAGAACAAGTCCCTTATAAAAAGGAGTCCTACTGAGAAGTTACTGAAAATAAGTAAATCCCACTCTGTATATCAGCATGCATTTCCTTTAGCTTAACTTACATCCCGTGAGTCTTCTGGGAATTCTACGGCAAGGACGGATCATGCTTGGCATTCATTTCAGTTTTTAGCAAACAAGTGAGTATTTTGACTTAGGTTGAACGCAAGTTTTCGTATAGACAAACAGCGCGAAGGGAAGGCCGAGATCATGCTCTTGGTCTTTTAGGAGCCAGGAAATAACGGGGGTGGGAGGTGGGGGGAGGAGACGACTAGTCCCAGGAATGCACCAAACGCCGTTAGTACCCAATGGCATCTGTGCTTTCGACCCCATTGCTAGACCCTTTGCACCACAGCTCTGTGAAGAGCGCCCCTCTGCCCTTAGCAACGTGCCACAGGGCCGTATGCAAGGGCCAGAGAGGAGTGAGGAGGGAGGAGATTTGCTCAAGATCAATCTCAGCAAGGAGGTAAGGATTCCGGTGACTCCGCAAACCCTCAAGCTCTCATTTCTCAGGGGAGGACTGAATGTACTGGGTCCTTTTAGTTCCAGAGAAGACTATTTCCAAACAGCATTTTCGTCCTATGAAGTAGAGCTCTATAAAATGGCTGGCAAATAACCAACATCATAATTGCAGGTAGGGCTTTCTTAAAAGTTTGGCAGGCTGATGAAGACCTCATCGGGTGGGATTTTTGGGAGGAGGACTCGGAAGACGGAACTGAGATGTGAGATCTACCTCTGTCTTTGCCGTGCTCACTCGGCCTCAGCCACACTTGTATGTTTCCCTACCTGCATTGTGCTTTGCCAAGTATTTATCTTTGTACTGCTTCTTTTTCTTGCCGAACCAAGTACAGCTGGCCTGCTGCTCCTGTTTGGTTTTCTCCATGGCGATGCAAGCGACTCGCCTAGCAGAGAGAGAGAGAGAGAGAATCTCCTGTAAAGTTGTATATTGACAAAAATCATTCATTTGAAGACTTGATACAAGCCTATATGAACATACTCCTCACAGACTTTTCAAGATAAAGCTTGCTCTTTGGTTTTCACGACAATTTACTGGAGATGTTTTAAAAACACAGGCTTATAATAAAATGACATCATATTCCCGGGGCACCTGCTAACTGATAACGCAGCCAAGCAACCTAAACTCACGGCTGTGGCATGCGGTGGACAGAGTGTGGGATTTTGAGTTCTGACAGGTCTGGTTTGACTCCCGGCTCTATCACTCACGACCTTGTGCCAATTTAGTGTTAGGTGCTTTCCTAGGAAATGTACATGTATTAACTCATTTGACCTTTCTAACAACACGTGAAATCGTGTCACTGCTTTACAGATGAGGGGATCAAAGGACTTAAGAGGTTCAGTAATTTGACCCAAACCACGCATCTTACATGGGTGAGTGAGCTCTGGCACCAGAGACCACATGATTGGCCAGGACATTCTATTGGCAAGTTTCTTAGCCTCCTGGATGGCTGTCGTAAAGGATCAGAACAAAAAAATGGAAAGAAAGTCCTCAGCACAGTGGTAGGCACAGTAGATCCTTAATAAATGGTACTACTACATGGCAATTCTAGTCTAAGAAAAAACATTAATGAAATCCACAGTTGGAATTACAGAGAATTTTAATTTTCTATGTGATTATAGTATTCAGCACAAATGTTATTAAGAAGTTGTCCCCTTAGGTTTAATCTAAGCAAATATTTGCCTTTTAGGATATCGCCACAGGTGGTTTTGCTTAATGAGTTTGCTTGTGTGCCAACCAGGGGTCCCCGAGTGAGCCACATATAAGGAGAATCCAAAATCACCATCAGAATGACAAGTGATTTTCCAATGAGGTTGTATGGATTTACATTCCATCAGCAATGTCTGAGAGCTCCTGCTGTTCCACTTCCTTGCTAACACTTGGTCGTATCAGTCTTTAATTTTAGCCATGACAGTGGGCAAGTTAATGGAATCAGGCTGTGCTTTGAGTTTGCATTTCATGGATTATTAATGAGAGTGCACACCTTTTCACAGGTTTATTGGATTGGATTTCTTCTGTACAGTGTTTAAGTCTTTTGGCCATTTTCCTTTTCCAGTTGTCTTTTTTTAAGATTTTATTTATTTATTTGACAGAGAGAGAGACACAGCGACAGAGGGAACACAAGCAGGGGGAGTGGGAGAGGGAGAGGCAGGCTTCCCGCGGAGCAGGGAGCCCGATGTGGGGCTCCATCCCAGGACCCCGGGATCATGACCTGAGCCGAAGGCAGACGCTTCACGACTGAGCCACCCAGGTGCCCCTCCAGTTGTCTTTTTCTCATTGATTTGTAGGAATTCTCTATGTGGTCTGGATATTACACCTCTGTGAGTTATACATGTTGCAAATACCTTCTTCCATTTTGTGCCTTGCCTGTTTACTCTTCCTATGGTATCTTTTGATGAAAATAACTTAGTTTAAGTCAAATTTAGCCATCTTTTCCTTTATGGAAAGTATTTTTGATATGTTAAGAAATCCTTCCTTGTTCCTGAAGATCTTATTCAAGTTTATAGTTTTGGCTTTCATATTTTGGCCTTTAATACACTGGGACTGATTTTTGTATATGGTGTGAAATTAGGGGCCCGATTTCTTTCTTCTCTTTTTCCCTAATGGACACTCAATTGTTACAGCATGACTTATGGAGAAAACTATCCATTCCTCACTAATGACTATTTATGTATGGGAGTGTTTTGGGATTCTCTTCAATTGGTCTATTTGAATATCTTTATGCCTGTATCTTATTATCTTAATGACTACAGCTTTATACTAAGTATTGGTATCTGGTGGAGCAAGGCCTCCCTCCTTATTCTTCTAGAACATCTTGGCTATTCCTGATTCTGTGCATTTCCAAGAAAACTTTAAAATTAGCTTGCCAATTTTAAAAACACGTAAGACTGCATGGAATCTATGAATCAATCTGGGAGGAATATACACCTTTACAACACTGAGTCTTCCAGTCCCTGAATACAGTATGTCTCCATTTGTTTAAGTATTCTTTAATGTCTCAATGTTATAATTTTTCCTGTCTTGAACATTTTTGTTAGATTTGCTCCTAGCTTATTGATTAAAAGAGGTTATACAAATGGTATTTAAAAAAATTTTGTAATTCAGAAAATTTCAAACATATACAAGAGTAGAGAGTAATGAACCCCAAATACCTACAACCCAGCTCTAGCATTTCTTAACTCCTGGCTTGTTGTATTTACAACCTGTCCACCCTAAATTATTCTGACACAAATCTAAGTTTGTATCATTCCCTCCTTAAATATTCTTAAATTCCTTTTAAATCTATAGGTTCCCTCTCTCCTTTTCCTTCTTGCAATTATTTGTTGCAAAAACTGGTTGTTTGTCCGATAGTTTCCAAGTCTGGATTTCTCTGATTTCATCCCTGTGGTGTCTTCAGTAAATCCCTGTCTTTTGCATTTCCTCCAAATAGGTAGTTAGATCTAGAGGTCTGATCAAATTTAACTTCTATTTTTTTTTTTTTTTGCAAGAATACTTTATAGTATTAAGGTGATGCAGGTGGTGTTATGTATGGTATGTAAAGATTTTTTATTTTCTCAGGGCACCTGGGTCACTTGGTCAGTTGAGCGTCCCTCATGATTTTGGCTCATGATCTCAGGGTCCTGGGATCGAACCCTGCATTGGGCTCCCTGCTCAGCAGGGAGTCTGCTTCTCCCTCTTCTTCTCCCCCTGCTTGTGCACGTACATGCTCTCTCTCTCAAATGAGTAAGTCTTTAAAAATTTTTATTTTCTCTTTTTTGCTGGTAAATAGAAATTGCTTTTTGTATACTGATTTTGTGTCAACCATCTTGCTGACCTCTCCTATTAATTCTAATGGTTTATCTATAGATTCCTTTGAATTCCTATACACAGAAACACATCACCTGCAATATTTTTTTCCTTTCCAGTAGTGTCTGCTGTAGGTTTATGGTAGATGCTCTCAATCAGGTTAAGGAAGTTCCCTTCGATTCAGTTTGTGAGGGTTTTAATCATGAGGGGATGTTAAATTTTACCAAGTGCTTTTCCTGCATCTACTGATAGGACTATGTGGATTTTCTTTAGTCCATTAATACAGTGGATTGGCTTGACAGGTTTTCAAATGTTGAACTAGCTGTGCATTCCCAGTACAGACACCACTGGGTCAAGATGTATTATCCTTATTATATATTGCTGGATTTTGTTGAGAACTTCTACATCTATGTTCATGAGGGAGCCACATCTGTAGTTTTCTTGAATTGCCTTTTGTGAATTTTGGTATCAGGGTAATGCTGGCATTATGAAAGGAGTTGGGAACTGTTTTATTCTTCTCGAAAAGACTGTCCTCCATGTCTCTTATTTTCTCTTGTTCATTGAGGTTTTTTTTTTATTATTCCTTTATTTTTTGGTTAGGAGAAGGACACTTATTGGGCGATGCTGTGAATGCTCATCAACAGCGTCAATGTCAACGTCCGCGTATTACCTAAGCGGCATACAGAGGAGGCTGATGAAGCCTTTGTTTTGGGGATTCTTCCAGTACAAGCCAATCTGTGCTGTAGCAATAGCTATGGCTTCTGTGAGGCACATGAGCTTCGGGAGCATAAACAAAACCGAGAAATTTTTGACAGGTTAAAAGAGACAAAATCCTGACCCTGTGAAGCTTATGTTACAGTCTATAAGAGTATCTTATAACTAATGTTTTTAAGCTTAGGGAATAAAAGTAAAAAGGTCCCAGTAAAAATTTGTGGTGTGGCTCTATGTGACACAATGACAGAGGAATGAAACCAGTCTTCACCCGCCACGCAGGAAGTGCGTGCTGTTTCTTTTAGCTCAGTAAGTGCAGGCAAACTGTGGTAGGATTTAGGTCAACCCGGAGGAAAATTTCAAATACATGTAACATTTTCATTGCTGACTTGGATGAGGGTCTAGTAGGCAAAGGGAGGGATGACACATTTAGGGACTCAAAATATATCAAAGGACTTGACTGGTGTGCCTTGTCAAGCACGATGAAGTTTAACAAGGATAAAGAAGGGAAGGCGTCTGGGTCCCCAAACAATTGATTTCTCATCGACAGGGTGTGACAAATGTCACTTGGTAGAAACACCCATGAACCAAGATTCTGGGTCTGGCTGACAGTATTACCGCCAACCTTTCTCACCGACACTGAATGCCCACCTACATTCTACGCACCAACTCAGCTGCCCACCAGCGGCACTGCTCTTCCTTGCCGCCAGGAATGCCTTCCTCTACCTCAGTGTCTGACTCAGGCCTCAAGGCACATGCTGCCCAGTGGGCCGCTTCCTCGTCATCCCAGCTATAATCCCTTTCTCTCCCTACAGTTTTTGCACCTTCACCGAATTTGTTTTTTTCGTAATAAACCGAACATATTTGAAGTGTACAGTTTCATCAGTCCTGCTGAATGTATACATTCTTCCCTCTCTCCTCTGGGATCCCCAGGCAACCGATGTCACTATAGATTCGTTTTGGTTTTCTGGAATTTCATATAAATAGAATCATATAGTATGTTCTCTCTCTCTTTTTTGTCTGGAAACTTAGCATAATGATTTTGAGTTTTATCCATATTGTGTGTGTCAATAGTTCATTCCTTTTTTAAAATATTTTATTTATTTGACAGAGAGAGAGAGAGACAGAGAGCACAGAAGCAGAGGGAGCAGCAGAGGGAGAGGGAGAAGCAGGCTCCCCGCTGAGCAGGGTGCCTGATGCGGGGCTTGATCCCAGGACCCCGGGATCATGACCTGAGCTGAAGGCAGATGCTTAACTTGCTGAGCCACCCAGGTGCCCCCAGTTCATTCCTTTTTATTGCTTCATAGCATCCCACTGTATGGATATGCCATCCTTTCTTCATCTGTTTCCCTGATGGTGAAAACTTGAAAAAAGGGGCGCCTGGGTGGCTCAGTTGGTTAAGCATCTGCCTTCGGCTCAGGTCATGATCCCAGGGTTCTGGGATCGAGTCCCACATTGGCCTTCCTGATCAGCGGGAAGCCTGCTTCTCCCTCTAACCCTCCCCCCTCTCATGTACTCTCTCTCTCATTCTCGCTCTCTCAAATAAAAAAAAAACTTGAAAAAATTTTAGCCTTTCTAATAGGTGTGTAGCCACTGAGGTTTGGTTACTGCATGTTTTGTTCTTGGCAGTTCCTTCTGGTTCTTCTTCAAAAGTTTCCCTGTTCTCTGAAAATAGTTTTCAAGATTATTGATTTTAAAATATACGCACAGTTGTTTAAAAACCTTGTGTTAAGTGGGATTGGGTTTGTTTCTGCTGCCTGTCATTTCAGTAGGGTCTCTGTTTGGTCTGTCAGGCAGGTCTTCCTTGTTTCCTTTTGTGCCTGTGGGTTTTTTTTTTTTTTTGACTCGGTCGCTGCCCTAGGAAAAGTCTATGTGGGGGGTTAGGAAGGGCTCTAGGATGAGGCCTAGCATAAAGTGTTCTCCTTCGGAGACTTTCTTTTCATTTGTAACAGACACAGGGAACTACTATTAGTAAAGGAGAGGCCTCAAATCAAGTGTAAGGCTGGAAGTCCCCTGACCGTCCCAGGCTATGTGTATCTGGGTACAGAGCTACTCAAGGCAGACCAGCGGCCATGATTTTTTTCAGGGAAACTTTTGTTTTCCTTTTATTCGTGTCTTTGGCTTTGCTCAGTGGCAAGGCAGGCTTCTCTCCAGTCCCCAGCTGTTGAAGGGCAGCAAGGGCACACTTCTCTGCTTGCTCTTAACCTGAGGGCAGAGCCTCTGCGGTCCCAACAATGGGGGACCGGTCTCCTAATAGATCCCCCTGCTTGTACAGGCCTTAGGTCTTAACCTTGGTTGTCTGGCAGAAAAGTTTTCAGTAATAGACTTGTCCTCTTGGCAAAATGGGCCAATATGCTGCTGTACTTTCTATCACTCGATTAATGGCTTTCACATAAAAACCTGTCACTCAGTTGCCCGATGCCTTTTTGGCTACTTAATGCTTTTAAGGTAATATTCAAAAACACATTTTCTGCAGCATTTTCATTTTTTTTTTCAGCAGGAGAATTGATTTAGATAACCTAGTCCACCATTACAGGAGACAGGGAACTAATCTGCTTTTCCCACTGCCATTTCTCAGGATTCTTCCAGAGGACTCGGGAGTTCTAGGTGTCTGTGAAACAGGATTTCTACAGATGATCTGACTAGGGAGAAGAGTTCTGGAATCTACATAATTCTTTTAAAAAATGGCAGCAAGTTAGAACACATTTTGTCAAGCATAAATGTCACTAATGACATAATAACATCCATCATGAAAGTGACTCAGAAATCACGTCCGTCCTAATGCTTAAACTCTTCCTTGAAGTTGGGGCTGCAAGGCAGGGCCAGATGGAAGGCTGCCTGCCACTTCCTCTGGCGGGGCCTGCAAGTCCCCATGGAAAATGATGCCATCTGAAGTTCTTACCCGCTCCGACAGTCTAAATGTAAGAATAGTTTTGGAAACATGTGATAGTGACGGAGGCAATCACGCAAAGGAAATTAACTGAGAAATCCCTGTAACTAGTGAGAAAAAGGAGAAAACAATTCTCAACATCTGCGGACTCGGGGCCTCTGGGGTCTCTGAGCTAGCTTCAAATATTTGGGTACGAACTGCCCCGATGCCTACTGGTTGCTTTTTTGGTCGCATGAAACAAAACTCAGATATAAAGTCCTCTCTTTGCTAAATTTCTCATATATTGCTAAAGTACAGACGAATGCAAAATCACCAGCATCTTTCAAAACATAGTTCAAGTTAGCAAATAGTAACAATGGCAGAAATAGATTTTACTAAAATATACAGTAATCTGGGACTCCTTTTCTCACACTTAAAAATGGTGTCAAAAAGCTCTCTGACTTTAACCTGTTTCCACTGCTTGAACTTTCTAACAAAATAGGCATTTTTTTAAAAGATTTTATTTATTTGAGAGAGAGAGAGTGAGAAAGAGAGAGCACATGAGAAGGGGGAGCGTCAGAGGGAGAAGCAGACTCCCTGCTGAGCAGGGAGCCCGATGCGGGACTCGATACCAGGACTCCAGGATCATGACCTGAGCCAAAGGCAGTCGCTTAACCAACTGAGCCACCCAGGCGCCCCAAAACAGGCATTTTTAAAGACTTAGCAAGGTAAAGAATGAAGCTTCTGGCTGCCTTTTTCTCCTAACGGGGAAACCCATTTTACCTTCAAATACCCTGAATGACCTTGAATCATAGCCTGAGGTTTTCCCTGCTGCTGATGGGGGGTGGGGGGCTGGAATGAGCACCGAGGGAGCATGCGGAGGGGCAAGGAGAGGGACGCCTGGGTGGCTCAGTTTGTTAAGTGTCTGCCTTCAGCTCAGGTCATGATCCCAGGACTCTGGGATAGAGCCCCGGGGGGGGGGGGGGGGCAGGCTCCCTGCTCAGCCAGGAGTCTGCTTCTCCCTCTCCCTCCACCCCCCCCGCCCCCGCCCCCACCTGCACGCGAGCACGAGCTATCTCAAATAAATAAAATCTTTAAAACAAAACAAAACGCAGTTCTAAAAGGATTGAAGCAGCATGTGGGAGTGGGGGGCTGTGCTAAGGGACCAGGAGGTGACCGTGACCTGTGACCTGAGGGCTAGCCACTCAACCTCCCTCTAGACCTTCCTCTCCTTTTATGTAAAACCAAGACCTGACTCTAAGCAGGAACTTGCTAGATGCTGAGGATTTAGAGTTCTTGGATGACTAATCTGAACTTTGGCTAGCGGAGCAAACAGGTTTTACACAATAGAAGGTTGACAAACAGATGGTCAGGGCTTTGTTTTTATTGTAAAACAAAACGGAACAACAAAAACATACCATTCCTGAAGTTCAGGAGAAGGAATGAGACCTGCGGTTCCATTTTTGGAGTTTTCCAGTTTACCCTGCCACCAGTTGTGATCGTCCTTACTAATAATCTGGATAATGTCGCCAACTCTGAATCGAATGCCAGCTTCTTTGCAGGGGATGAGGTCATCCTTGGCTGGATCATATTCAAATTGTGCTCTTACATAGATCTATAAAACAGGAGTCTGTAAGAAGGGCTGCCTTGGCGATGTGAAAGCAAACAGCTCTAACGTAATAACCACACACCAACACTTACAATACGAACAGGACATTAGATGGTGAAGCCAAATGATGCATGGAGATAGGGCACAGAACTGCTACCACTAGAAACGATGGACGACCTCTGAAGGGTGCAGGCTCAAGCCTCTGCTGTTACTTGGAGGGAACGCTGCTGATACTTGTTTAATAAAGATCAAGACTTAGCATTTGCTTTTACTGTAACAGAGTAGGTCTCTAATTACAGAGAGGTATGCTTAGCATTTTTAAGTCTGCATATATTTAGCTGACATTATGGGCACGTTGTCATGATCACGTGGCAGCCTTTACACCATATACACAAACACTTAGGGTAGGCTTTAACCCCAAAGCAGCACGTGATACAAAAGCAGCAAGCACTCTGTGTCGGTCTCTTGCTGTAAAATGCCTACAAGACAGCCGTGTGTGGCTACACACTGCTGATAAACTTAAATATAATGTACACAGTTTTTAAAGCATTTAAAAAAATCAATCGTGTTATTAGGTTTTTAAAGAAGGATTTCGGCTTTGTATCTGTATTTTACTCTTCCTAGAGAAGAAAAATGACTTTGAATCCTAGCTTTGCCACGTGAAAGCAGCACAGAGCTTCAAGATATGCAGAGTTCAAGGCTCTGAGTTTTAGGATATGTCAATGTAATTAGTAAATATCATAAAAGGAAACAGATGAGCACATAAGGGGTTATCATATGGCAGCATTTTATGAATCACTGTGTTTCCAAATGCTTTAAAATAAGGTGCTAGATATCTAACGTTGCATCACTTATGCAGTCTTAAGAATAAACTATGGGTGAATTCTCTCAGGTGCCAATTTACGCACACCTGAACCCCAAATTGGATTATCTTTGGACACCAAATTCCATGAAAATTCCCCATAAAAATTCTACCTCTTGAAATTAAATTTGAGTATTAATGTTTCAGTCACTGTAAAACCAACCTGAAGGCTTTGGAATTAGTGCATGATTATTCTGTTCAAGTTTTGTCAGAAATCCAGCCTGTAAAATTAACCTATCTCTGCCTTTGCACCTGAAATGAATACTCTTAAAGTGCTTGGCAAACTGGAAGCTGCTTGCTGGTGGCAGGCAGCACGTCACTTTCCCCGGGTGACCCAACAGAGGAACATTGGGATGCAAAGCCAGGATGTTCTGAGTTTTCATTGTAAAGGGCTTTTAGATATCCACATGCAAATACAAATTAAGAAAAAGCCTTGAAAATTTCAGAAAATTACTGCTTAAACATAGTCATCAGCACATACATTTTAGTTATTCTTAGAATTATAGGAGTTTTGCAACCTTTCACAATTTTTTCCCCCAACTCCACAGGCAGGCCCATAAGACCCCCCCGAAGGCTGAATTCTTAAACCATCAGCACAAGTTTATCAGGTTGAAATTACAATAACCATCACAGCTACAAAGATGTGAGGAAAAAAATCCTTATAGAAAATTAGTCATGTGTAATGTGTTAAAATGAAATGGTACAAGCTCTCAATGCTTAAATGTTATGGTCCAAAATGCAGACATTATGGGATGGAAAGGGTTAATAAAGGATTGGCTATTAGCAGCTCAGTTTAGAGAAGTTTCTATAGAGGATATCTATTCACCTGTCGTCCTTTTGGTTGGGTAGTTGATGGCAAGTCCTGTAGAATAAAGCCAACCCAGGAGAAAAATTTTCATTTACTTTTTGAGAGTACAAGGTAATTTGTGTGTTCTGTTACAATATGGTTAAAAAATGAGCTAGATTTCAGTTGTAAAGAGATCATATACATTATTCCATTTCTCAGAAATGTTGAGTTATCGAAAAAAATCAAACCCAGGCCATTTAGCAGCAAGCTGAGGAAAGCAGGTAAGTTTAAGCAAGAGAGAAAATGTGTTCTTAAGAAACAACTCAGCATCTTCAACACAAAAGCCACTGTGAGTGAAACGGCCCTATCAGAAACAAAAACAAAACCCCCCAAAAAAGAGCCCTTTTTAACTTAGTCACTGCAGTCATTTCAGTTTTGAGAAATTCAATGGCTATATGGATTTTCACCATCTTCAAAGTATTACATGTTAAACTATTATAAACGAATTCCTTTGGTAGCCTATTTGGAAGTTAAAAACAAAGGTCGTTAGGAAATTTTCCTCCATAATTTCTCTTACTGATATCATTCCATTCGAGATGATCTCTAAATTACTGACAATTTTATCTGATTAAAGGTAGTTGATGTGTTTTTAAAGGGCACGTGGATAGCAAACGAGCGATACTGCTGCATTTAGTGAAACTCGCGGTACGTTTCAACAGCAATATCAGCAACTTAAGATTTTGTTACCCCAAAAGATCAGACATTTGCACCTTAAGTGCTTCCATTTAAGTAAATGAAAAACAATTTTTTTCATATTCCAAAATGAATAGTTCTGAAAAAAAGTGGTAAAATTCCAAGTTCAAGTCAAAATATCAAGTACTTTGTGTTAAAGATGTGATAACAGCGTGGCTTAAGTGCAGTTGGAAGCCAGTTCCTTTTGCTTTTCATATCCAGGCAAGGCTTATAATTCACAAAAATATGTGCACGGACCACAATAACAGAGGGCACACCAATTCATAACGTAGATAGCGGAAACTACAACAGGTTGCTGATATCACTCAGAATAGACAACTACAAAGCCCGAGAATACCCAGATGCCTACTCTGCAAAATCCTTCTGTTTCTTCATCTTTCTCCAATTAAAAAAAAAATTTAGAAATTTCAACAAATTGTCACTTCATATATCCTTTGCGTTAAGTCTGAGCCAAGTCAGAGATGCTAAGTGGGGTGACACGGAAATATTCTGAGCGTGACCAAAGCGATCTCGAACGCCAGTTCTTCCAATTTAACTAATCAAAGGGATTTTTTTTTCACGAGAAGAAAATGTTGAAAAGATTTTCCAGGAGTAAACTGCATTGTAGCTGTAGTAGCCTTGTATGTTGGCAGAAGACAGTATTTGCACTGAACACATGTAACTAGAACACTCATGGCGGGTGGCCCCAACAGAATTGCCACACTTTGCTGTGTGGAGCTAGAGTTCTTACCGAAACAGAATTGTTAGTGCTGCTATGACCATTAGCTGGGGACTGCCTGGAAGTGGAGGGGGACTCTCTCTGAAATAAGACACAAGGTTCATTAACACAGAACACAGTGGCACAGACAGAGATATTCACATCAACAGTTCCAACCACAATCTGACAACCGTTTCCTCTGGGGTTTGGTTTAGCTGCAAAGGCGCTACACTGACTTACTTGCATGATTTCACGGAAGTATGAAAAAAATGTTTGCAGTTGGAGGGTTCACCTATTGTACGCAATGATAGTGTCATTCATGAGAATTTCTTTCCTGTCTCCAGCACTCTATAACCTTGGCTGATTTTAAGTGAGACCCAGAAGAGGGAATTGATATTAAAATCCTATTGAGGACTGTAAAATGACAAATATTACTATACACTTCTTGTGCTGAAGATCCCAGCTGCCTAATTTTTTTATTCAAAATTAGGTTTGAAAAGTACTTAATAGTTTTTAGGTACCTCAGTGTCACAAATTACTGAATGACTCATTTGAAGTGAAACAAATCTAAAAAAAAAAAAAAAAAAAAAGAAAAAAAAAAAGACTTCTCAGGTTGTAATCACCTTGGAGTCTTTCCAGGACAAGTATTACTAATGAGGGTAAAAGATACACATCCACCAGAGAAGAAACCTTTATTCTTTAGATCATTTTAGGAGACTGATTAAAACAATAATCTTGAGCCTCTAAAAATATTACACTTCTGGCAAAGGTCCCAGGAGGCACAGCCACTCTCCCTAGATCCGTGGTCCTCGGTCACACTCTCTAGACTGTGTGAGGCACCTGCAATCCTTTCTGGGCTCCATTCCCTTATTGTCCAAATCAGCTTTAACGATGAGCACGAGGAGAGGAAGAAAATATGCACTGTAGCATTTCTGGTTTAGTGGAGTTCTTTGAAACCTTTGAAGTGTACATGTCTGCTCAAAAGACACTTGTTTTTGCTAGAAGACAGACAGAAAACTTCTGGAGCTTGTTAGCTTTTTGAATAATAGGCTCCCTTAGACAAGCATTCTCAAATGCTCATGAGCAGATTGGTTTCTAGGTGCCAACCCCAGAGACTCAAGTCAGCACAGCCAGCGTGAGGGCAGCGGTCTCCCCTCTCTTGCCCGGGGGATGCTGATATGGGTGGCCAGCGAGCCCTTCTTTGGGAAGTACTGCCCTAGCTGGGAAGAGTCCAACCACAGGCTTGAATTCTGCCAGAACACGGGAGGGTCAAACAGGTTGGGGGTAGGGAGGAGGGGAGTATCATTTTTTCTACTCTTCAGAGATAAAGAAGGCAAGGGGGAGGGCTCTTCTGACTCAAGTGCAGAATTTACATGTGTAATACTGGTCCCACCGTAAAACTAGTTCCACCACTTAAAAAACACAAGAGAAACTTGTATATTAATAACTAACAATATCCCCTAGTTAGTTAGCTAAAAAGACACAGATCAATCGTATTCACTAAATGTCCTCAATGCTGAGAAATGGTATGAAGACCACCTATGATTTTAGAATATTAGAACGTTTCACATGAGAGGCGTGTATGTGACATTCCCTCTTCCCCGGAAGGTTTGTGTTCTAGGTTACAAATTTCAAAACTGTGACTCCTGGAGCAGAAGTAGCTCTGCATTTTCTTTTGAAATACAGTTATTAATTGAAGTTCCAGAGAAAGCCACCAAGAGGAGCTCAAAACCTGATAGAACGGAAACCCCAACTGCCATGGTGCACTAAAAAATATCCTTGACCAAACTACAAATTCTTAGACATATCTTCGATAGGTTTAGAGAACAAAACATAAAGCCTCTTGAGTTTGCTTCTGAGATCTACAGCATTCCTGGGGCCTGAAAGAGGCATCGTAATTTCTCCCTCGACTTCTCCAGAGTACAAATTCAATTTTCTAGATAAGTTCTAATAAGTTACTTGTCAGTCTTGAAAATTAACTGTAGGAGGTGTGTACTTCACACTGATGTACACAGACTTGGAAGATGCACACGAAAAGAACAAGCTTCAAATAATTAAGCTCAAGCTGAATGTGCAATGACCGAAGGATGACAGACCCTTCATGCCAGTCTGTATTTCCAGATATAAAAAGAATAGATTTTGGAATCTCATTTAATGACTGACATGAAACTGAATAATACAGGGTGGAGAGCTACAATTTCTATAGGATACACCAACCGTTAGAAAGAAACTTTGGGGTTGTATTACCCTAGAAAACTTACTTATCAATCACATAGTGTTCCAAATTGAAACGATTTCACAGAAGGTTGCAAAAACTTCTACTCCTCTCGGAAAGTCAGTTATCAACTCCTCACAGACTTAACATCTGTCCAGGGACTTCTCACAGTTTTGTTTTTTTTTTTTTTTTTTTAACACCCCGATCTTAACAGATCACTTCTCAAATTCTTGGAAAGAAGAACTATCTGTGTGATTTCTTAATAAGGGAAGTGAATGTACTTCCTGGAAATATTATTGCAATTATCTTTCTTTTTTTCCTCAGAGATGCCATTTGTTCTTATTAAGCCTTCTGTCATTACTTGGAGCCCCTCTAGATTTTGCTGCGATCCCAGCCTGCAGACAGTTAAAGTGCTGAGGAGATCCCCATGGAAGCAGGGCTGAGTAGGTGAATGGAACCTACTCTGTTCCGTTATCTTTGTTGTAAAATTGGTGTGCAGTGATCAACAGCACAGGCAGAAACAACTTCCCAGAAAGCCAAAACATTCAGCCATCAGCAGACAGTTAGTTAAGAACCCAGAGGAGACAGGGGTGGCGGGGGTTGCGCAAGAGCCATTACCTCACAGGATGATGACTGAGTGCGGTAACTTGGCACGATCTTGAAGGTGATACTCCCCCGCATTTCCCGCTGGAGGCAGAAGAAAGGAGAGCTCTCTTAACACACAAATGTTGCACACAAAGACATGTGAGAAACCACTCGAAATGTGTGCGTGTGTGTGTGTGTGTGTGTGTGGTAATTAATGCAAGCCAGCTGAGCATGCAGGGGCCTAAAATGAAATGGACATAGAAGGTAGGGGCTGCTCACAGGAATAGACACTGTTCTCGGGAGAAACCCTGCAAAGTCAAGGCCGATTGCCTGGTTTGCGCAGCAGCAGTGGAACAGACCTCCGGCGGTTCCCTTTTTATAGACACACATGCAGAAACCTCTAAGTGCCTTTCAAAAATGAGCATGGATTGAGCCAGACAACAGAATAAGTAATTACACGAAAATGATATTTGGTCTGCTGCGTGGTGATGGTGTACTCCGTTCAATTTGCTTTTTCTTTCATAACGTTGGCCTCACGGTTTTTGCTGTCATGAGTCTGTGTGCTTATTTCACACCTAAGAGATAGCCATGGCTTGGGAGCCCACTGCGTTGTAGCAGGAAGACGGCCCAGGACCAGAGGTCCCAGACATCTGCCTCTGCTCCGGACGGCAGTGAGCACAGGCCAGGGGCTGCCAGCCTGCTTTTTTAATGCAAGGCCAATTGTGAACACAGATTTTGGGTATGTATGGTCAAAAACAGCTGGGTCTACTCTGTCTTTCCTTCCCTCTGTGCTGCAGAGAGATCCAATGCACCTGGCTATGACTCAGCTAAACAGGAATACGGCTCCTGACGTTGCTGATGTCAGCAGGATGGAGGTCGGTGAGAGACTAGTTCACATATACGCACAACTGGAAAGATTATCTTCACACATTTGCTCAGTAAGAAACAGGAGATCAAGGAGGAAAGGAGAGCGTCGAAGCCCACACTGCTCGATGGGCAAGAGGTTTCCAAGCTCTGTTGCACGTAAACAGTTTCCCAGTTGTCACTTATGAATGTTGTAGAAATTCAAGTCCACACCAATGGTGGGATCAGAAATACTCTAATTACAAAAGAATACCGCTTATTCGTGCATTAAAAAACAAGCTAACAAACTGAAAGTCAGTCTTGGAACAAAGACAGAGAAACCTGCATGTACTCACAAGCATTTTCTGCAGCTGTTCCACTGTTTGGTTAGCCACACTGATGCCATTAATTTCTCGAATCTCATCACCGACATGAAGTGTGCCTAAAGAAATGACACAATTATAAACACGAAATGATATATGTATCATTTATAACAAAATCCAAAGGCAGCAATGTAAGTAATTAAAAAAATTAAGCTAACGATTGAAGTCCAGTGTTTCAGAAACAGGTACAGATTTGGCTCATGTGGTAAACTCACCAAAACAGATATATCTACTTACGGAAGACACACTTTCGAAAGATGGCTGCAGAAATCTGCTTATTTCTCTGAGAGAGGCACTGTGTATCATGGTTTAAAATGACAGTTTCTAGATCTAGATTGTATGGGGGCAAATTTCAGCTACATCCCTTACCAGCTTTAAGATCATGGGTAGGTTACCAAAACGTTCCATGTCTCAGTTTTCAACATTTACAAAATGGAGATAAAAATAGTACCTATTTCATATGTTTGCCTTGAGGATTAAGTTAGTTTAATACACATAGAAGAATCAGAAGTGTTCATGGCACATAGTAAAGTACCACTGAAGCGTCTGTTATCATTTTCTACTATTCTCATCACGATTATCTACCAAATGTGATACAGAGAATTGTGATAATACCTGTATAACACTAAACATACATTAGACCAAACACAGTTCTTTTATAATAATTTGGTAGGCATTTCAGGGTCCTCTAATACTTCAATTGGAAAGAGTGACCAAGAACCAATGCTTAAATAGAGTTATGTGAAATTTTACTTCCTTATTTATAAACTGTGCATATGTTTACATACTGGCTGGACATTGTTACGAAAAGCTCACAGCATCTTTTAGAGGTACATACTAAAATGCACATAAAGAAAATAAGACCCCTGAGATTTACTTCAAAATAATCCATGGGGGTGGACAGTAGGGGAAGGTACAGATGACACTGGTGTGGCCATGAATTAACAGTGACTCTAGTGGGTAATGGGTACGCGAGTGATTGCGTCACTCTTCTTTCCACTTTTCTCTACTTGAACTCACTGCACTATTCTCTCTACTCATGTTTGAAAATTAACATAATAAAATAAAAGTCTGGGGACTTTTGCTTCCAGTGTGGCTGGTCAGTCACTGGAAGACGTTCTCACAACTGTATCTCACCTAGGGTACACCTCTTGAAGTGTTACTGGTCTCACAAAAGGAGGACGAATTCTAAGAGCACTTCCTACTTCCATCCCTACCATCCACTCCACACGAAAACCTGTGAGCTGGCTCCAGAGTGGTGGCAAACTAAGGGTGGAATGAAACAGTAGAAAGGGTAGATGCCACAGTAGCATTGCCTGCTAGCTGGATTCTGAGCCTTGGGCCAACAGCAAGGGACAGAAGTTGACCCCAGGAATCTGGAGGGAGGCAAGATCCATATTGGTGGCACTCCACGGAAACTAGTAGAAGAGGCAACAAACTCTCTTTGGAGGAAAGTGTACCCAGTTTAGGCCTACAGGACTTCCACTAATTAGGACAAACAAAAGCTCACAATCAAAGGTCACCAAACATACAATAAGGCAAACTACTATGTGAGTCATCAGAAACAGAAAAAAAAAATTTAAATCGTCAAGGAGGACAGATACTAGAATGATATGATACAGAATATAAAAAAGCTACATATTAAATATTAGGAAAAAAAAGGGCCTAATTGCAAGGATGAGAATGCAACAAGAGACTATCAGATGTGAACAGATAGATTTGAAAATAAAAGTAAGAACAAGTGACTAGTACTTCTAGAAAAGAAAAATATAACTGGTGATATAAACCAGTGAATGGATGAGTTGAACAGGAATTCAGATATGGCTGAAGAGAGTTTCAGTGAACTGGAAGATACAACTAAATAAATTACCTAGAATGCAGGCCAGAGGAATGAGGGAAAATAGGAAATAAGAAATAAAGAAAAATAGGAAAAAAATTAAGAGATACAGAGGGAATATCTAACACACGTCTAGTGGAGTTCAGAAGGAGAGAATATGGAGAATGCAGAAGAGGCAATATTTGAAGAAATAATGGTTGTAAACTTTACTGAACTGATGGAAACATGTTTATGCAATCCAGGAAGAATAATGTATCCTAAACAGGATAAATAAAGAGAAAGCCATGCTGGAAGGTAGTAAAACTATAGAACATCTAAAGACAAAGATCTTTCCCCCCCCGCTAAAGACAAAGTTCTTAAAACAACCAGAGAGAAAGGAGAGATCACCTACAAAGCAAGGACAATTGTAGTGACATCAGGCTTCCCAATGTCAAACAATGGATGCCAAAATACAACAGAATGGTAACCATTAGCCTAAAATTGTGCTCTCAGCCAAAATAATCTTCAAGATTGAGGCTGAAATAAAATACTTACAGATAAATACCACCTGAGAGTTTATTAGTAGGAGACTAGCACTAAAGGAACTTCTAAGGATGTACTTTAGGAAGAAGGAAAATACTCCCCAAAGGATCGTCTGAGATTTAAGAAGGAATAGTGAGTTTATACCTGAAACTAATATACCAAACACTTGTATGTTAACTATACTAGAAATAAGATAGAAGGAATGGTGAGTAAATAAAATCATAAACATTTATGTAAATCCAAACAAAAATGGTCATATTTTAAATTAACAGGACAGAACTCAAATACTGGGCAAGAATAATATGTAAGTCAGGAGTGTGATCAGATTTAGTGTTCCAATGTCTTTGTATTCTTTGGGAGTGGGGTTAAGATACTGTTTCACTTTAGTATACATAATGTTAAATATGCAGGATAAAATTTCAAGGTAACCACCTAAAAACAGAAATAGAGTGCTGAAATTCTAGACTACCAGGGGAAAAAATGGAACAAAAAAATGAACAAGAAAATCAATAAAAAAATGGAATAAATATAAATTAAAAAGATGACAGAAATCATCACAATAAATATTAATGGACTAACCTTGTCCATTAAAAGACAGTGATCAACAGAGTGCATTAAAAAATGAAAAACTCAGCTTAAAAAATTCTGATGCATACAAGCACAGAATGGTTGGAAATAAAAGGATGGAAGAAGACATGCTGGCAGATACTAAAATAAAGTTGGGATAAGTATGTTAATATTAGATAAATAGGTTTTAAATAGAAAGTATCAGTAAGGATAGAAATGGTGACCAGGTATTTCTAGGCACCTAATTAGACAGCTTCAAATATATAAAGCCAAAATGGAGAGATCTATAGATAGAAATTGAAAAACTCTACTATGATAGTGAGATATTTCAGCAATTACCGATAGGTGAGACAGACAAAAATATTAGTCAAGATACAGAAGATGTGAACAAAAAAATTAACCCCAAGCCAATCATCATATAGAGAACTCTCCATGCAACAGTTAAAGAATAAACATTCTTCTTAAGTACACATGGATTATTTAAAAAACTGATTAAAGTGCTATGCCATCAAGCAAGTCTCAACAAACCTCAAAGAAATGGTACCATACAGACCATACTCTGACCACAGTGCAATTAAGTTAGAAGTAAATTATAAAAAGATACAAAGAAAATCTTCTTAGATGTGGTATGTAAAAAACACTTCTAAATAAATGTGGGTCAATGAAAGATACCATAATAGGAATTTAAGAGTACTTAGAACTGAATTACAATAAAGATGCTTTATAATAAAACTGGTGGGATATAGATAAATGAGTACTTAGGGTAGAGTTTAGACTCAGATGCATTATATTAGGAAAAAAAAAAGACTGGGATAAATGCACTAAGTGTCTAATTAAGAAAGTTAGATAAAACCAATAGGAAGTAGAATGAAAGAGATAAATAGAAATCAGGTCACAAAACAATGAAATAGAAAACAAACATACAATGGAGAGAATTAAGAGAACCCAAAGTGGGTTTTTGAACAAACCCCTGGCAAAGTTGATTAAAAGAAAAAAGACAAGGCATGGATAAATAATTTTAAGAATGAACAAGGGGACATAATTATAGAGATGGCAGGGAATAAAAAGGTAAGAGAACACTATGCAGAAGCTTACTACAATAATTTTTTAGGACTTAAGTTTTTTAAGGAAAATGTAATTTGCCAAATTTACTCAAGATATAGAAAGCCTGAATAACCTTATGAATGTTAAAGAAATTGAAGCAGTTAAAAAAAAAGAGTCTTTCCTGGGGTGCCTGGCTGGCTCAGTTGGTAGAGCATACAACTTTTGATCTCAGGGTCATGCGTTCAAGCCCCACAGTGGGTCTAGAGCTTCCTTAAAAAAAAAAAAAAAGTCTTTTCAAAAAAACCCAAAATCAAAACCAAAACATCAGGCCTTGACAGTGTTATAGGCAAGTTCTACTAAACTTTAAAGGTATGAATCATTCCAATATTCTACAAAGTCTTTCAGAGAACTCATGAAGGGAGAAGGCTCTCCACATCATTTTATGAGGCAATGTAACTTTGAAACTAAAATCCAGTAGAGAAAGACAAGACAGGAAAATTAACTACTAGCCAGTCTCACCCATAATTACAAATACAAAAACTCTAAACAAAATATTAGCACACAGAATCCAGCAGTACATACAAAAAAACAAAACAAAACAAAACAACCAAAAAACCACACACAATGAGTAAGCTGGGTTTATCTGAGACATGCAGAAGGGGTTTATCATTAGGAAATCTTCAAAAGTCATTCATTACATTAATAGATAAAAGGAAAAACCCCCCAAATGATCATCTCAGCAGATGAAGAGCATCTGGTAAGATTCAAAACTCAATCATAATTAAAAGGCTCAGCAACTAAGAATATAAGAGAACTTCCTCAACCCTAATAAAAGGCGTCTCACTAAAATTCTACAGTAAATGGTATTCTCCGTGGGGAATCATGGGAAAGCTACCTTTCAAAAACAAGACTAGGAGGAGGTCCACTACACCACTTCTATCAGAGATGGCAGGCCCTAGTCACACAGTAATATAAGAAAAAGAGATTACAGAAACGATGTTATGACTTCACTGAATTTATAGCATATTATTAAAATAAACAGAAAATTCATCCTGGAGTCTAAAACCAATTCTCCCATGTGAGCGCTGTCTACTACTGCAGCCTATAAAGATTCCCCTGAAGGCAGCAGTGATGCTGGACATCATCTGTGTCCATTCCTTACTTCTTGCTCTCTGGGGTTAAGGAAAAAGTAAAGAGGGTGCTAAGGAAAAAAAAAAAAAAAGAACAACCCCCCCGCCCAAAACCCTGATCTGAAAGAAAGGAAGCCTAATTTTCGGACAGGAGAATCACTTCTTGGATCAGCCTGTAAACACTAGCACCTATAACTCAGCCCTTTCAAAGAGGAGGCTACGCCTGCATGTGTAAATCTTGTCCACCTGAGAGTTAATTAAAGTTCCCCTTTCTCAAAAACTCATTCTTTGTTTACTTCAGGCCTTAGTGAAGTCCCTTCTCAGAATGACTGCAATAACTGTAGTAGGTATTAAAAACTTAATCCAGATTAGATAGCTCTTATTTTACTGTTTAATTTTTATATTATTTATCAAACTCTAATTTCCTAATTTACAAAGAGTATATCTCATTCCTGAGTGAGAAATTCATGAACTGTCATTATATATCTCTATCCATGAATGAATGTACATATGTATGTATGTATGTCCCAGAATAGATGCCTTCCATATATCCGGGGGCCAGGTATGATACTTTGCTTTATCCCCCATGGTCTTTCATAAGTCAGGATCCAAACAGTAATTCAGAGATGTTCCAGTAACAAAACTGTAATATACCCTCCCCTCCCTTAGCCATAGGCTGGAGCATGTACAGATGAATATGAACAAATGGAGACCAACAGTGATTAAAACCAAAGACAGATAATTTAAATAGGTCATTTATGTGGACCACAGATTAAAGATTGTTTACAAGGATCATAAAAAATACTTTCTCCACTAGGCTACAGGAACAGTTAAGGAGGGAAAGAATCACATATGAAACTTACCTTGCCTGTGAATCATGCCCCCGTGCATAATTCTTGCAACAATACAATGATTTAGCTCATTCATTTTTAAAGTGATTCCCTGTAAAAAGTTAAGTAAAATAGAATTACTATTCCCTTTTATGTTTGTGATTTCACTGTAGATAATTTTATTTACAAAAGTTAGGAAAACATTCAAGAAAATATAGAAAACGAAGGAGGAAAACCATCTGTTACTCCACCATGCCATGACAAAAATGTTATTTTTGGTATTTTGATTGCTATAATAATAGTAATACATACATTCTATATTGTGTTTTTTTTTTTTTTTAAAAGATTTATTTTTAGAGAGAGAGAGAGAACACAAGCAGGAGCGGCAGAGGAAAGGGAGAGAGAATCCCAAGCAGACTCCACACTGACTCCAATGCAGGGCTTGAGCCCACGACCCCGGAGATCATGACCTGAGCTGAAATTAAGAGTTGGGCATTTGACCAACACTTTAGTGCCCCTTAATGTGTACAATTTGGTAAGTTTGACATACGTATACATGTATGAAACCATTACCATAATGAGGAGCATGAAATATCCATCACCCCTAAAAACTTCCTTATGCCCATTGGTAATCTACTCCCATCCCTGCACCCCCCTTCCCCTACCCTATGGCCCCTCATTTGGTAGGTACTCTTTTTTGTTGCTTTTTTAAAATTCACAGTGTTAGGTTTAATCACATTGTTGTATGTATCAATGGTTCATTCTTTGTCCTTGCTGAGTATTCCACTGTATGGATATATCATTTTGTTTATCCATTCATGGACTGAATTTTTTCTCTAGCTTTTGGCTATTAGAAGTTAGCTGTATTCCTGCATTAGTCTCCACTTGGTCATGATGTATTCTTCTTTTGTTAAGATATGGATTTGTTTGAGTCTTTGCATCTATATTCATAGGGATACCAGTCCGTAGTTTTCTTTTCTTGTACTGTCTTTATCTGGTTTTGGCATCAGGGTAAAAATGCTAGACACATCATAATAATAATAATAATAATAATAATAATAATAATAATGTTGAGAAGAATTCCTTCCTTTTCAATGTTTTGGGGAAAGTTTGTGTAGAATTGGTATTATTTCTTTATTATATGTTTGGTAGATTTCACCAGTTATGTCATCTTGGGAGTTTTCTTTGAGGAATGGTTTTTAACTACAAATTCTTTTTTAAAATTTTATTATGTTGTGTTAGTCATCATACATTACATCATTAGTTTTTGATGTAGTGTTCCATGATTCACTGTTTGCATGTAACACCCAGTGCTCCATGCAATCCATGTTCTCCTTAATACCCATCACTGGGCTAACCTAGTCCCCACCCCCCTCCCTCTAAAACCCTCAGTTTGTTTTTCAGAGTCTATAGTCTCTCATGGTTCGTCTTCCCCTCTGATTTCCCCCCTTCATTTTTCCCTTCCTACTATCTTCTCTTTTTTCTTTTTAACATATAATGTATTATTTGTTTCACAGGTACAGGTCTGTGATTCATCAGTCTTACACAATTCACAGCGCTCACCATAGCACATATCCTCCCCAATGTCCATCACCCAGCCGTCCCATCCCTCCCAACCCCCACCACTCCAACAACCCTCAGACTGTTTCCTGAGATTAAGAGTGTCTTATGCTTTGTCTCCCTCTCTGATTTTGTTTTGCTTCATTTTTTCCTCCCTTCCCCTATGCTCCTGTCTTGTTTCTGAAATTCCTCATATCAGCGAGATCATGATACTTGTCTTTCTCTGATTGACTTATTTCGCTTAGCATAATACCCTTTAGTTCCATCCAAGTCGTTGCAAATGGCAAGTTTTCGTTTTTTTTTTTTTTATGGCTGCATCATATTCCATTGTATATATATACATCACATCTTCTTTATCCATTCATCTGTCGATGGACATCTTGGCTCTTTCCACAGTTTGGCTATTGTGGACACTGCTGCTATAAACATTGGGGTGCACAGACCTCTTTGGATCACTACATTTGTATCTTTGGGGTAAATACCCAGTAATGCAATTGCTGGGTCATAGGGTAGCTCTATTTTCAACTTTTTGAGGAACCTCCATACCGTTTTCCAGACTGGCTGCACCAGCTTGCATTCCCACCAACAGTGCAGGAGGGTTCCCCTTTCTCCACATCCTCGCCAACATCTGTTGTTTCCTGACTTGTTAATTTTAGCCATTCTGACAGGTGTGAGGTAGTATTTCACTGAGGTTTTGATTTGGATTTCCCTGATGCCGAGTGATGTCGAGCAATTTTTCATGTGTCTGTTGGCCATGTGGATGTCTTCTTTGCAGAAATATCTGTTCATGTCTTCTGCTCATTTCTTGATTGGATTATTTGTTCTTTGGGTGTTGAATTTGATAAGTTCTTTTTTTTACTTTTTAAAGATTTTATTTATTTATTCGTCAGAGAGAGAGAGCGCACACAAGTGGGGGAGCAGCAGAGGGAGGAGCAGGCTCCCTGTTGAGCAAGGAGCCCGATGCGGGACTCGATCCCAGGACCCTGGGATCATGGCCTGAGCTGAAGGCAGACGCTTAACTGACTGAGCCACCCAGGCATCCCGAGTTTGATAAGTTCTTTATAGATTTTGGATACTAGCCCTTTATCTGATATGTCATTTGCAAATATCTTCTCCCATTCTGTTGGTTGTCTTTTGGTTTTCTTCACTGTTTCCTTTGCTGTGCAAAAGCTTTTTATCTTAATGAAGTCCCAATAGTTCATTTTTGCCCTTGCTTCCCTTACCTTTGGCGATGTGTCTAGGAAGAAGTTGCTGCAGCTGAGGTCGAAGAGGTTGCTGCCTGTGTTCTCCTCTAGGATTCTGATGGATTCCTGTCTCACATTTAGGTCTTTCATCCATTTTGAGTCTATTTTTGTGAGTGGTGTAAGGAAATGGTCCAGTTTCATTTTTCTGCATATGGCTGTCCAATTTTCCCAACATCATTTGTTCAAGAGACTGTCTTTTTTCCACTGGACATCCTTTCCTGCTTTGTCGAAGATTAGTTGACCATAGAGTTGAGGGTCCATTTCTGGGCTCTCCATTCTGTTCCATTGATCTATGTGTCTGTTTTTGTGCCAGTACCATACTGTCTTGATGATGACAGCTTTGAAGTCTGGAATTGTGATGCCACCCGCCTTGCTTTTCTTTTTCAACATTCCTCTGGCTATTCAGGGTCTTTTCTGGTCCCATACAAATTTTAGGATTATTTCTTCCATTTCTGTGGAAAAAAAGTTGATGGTATTTTGATAGGGATTGCATTGAATGTGTAGATTGCTTTGGGTAGCATAGACATTTTCACAGTATTTGTTCTTCCAATCCATGAGCATGGAACGTTTTTCCATTTCTTTGTGTCTTCCTCAATTTCTTTCATGAGTATCCTATAGTTTTCTGAGTATAGATTCTTTGCCTCTTTGGTTAGATTTATTCCTAGGTATCTTATGGTTTTGGGTGCAATTGTAAATGGGATCGACTCCTTAATTTCTCCGTCTTGTTGTTGGTGTATAGGAATGCCACTGGTTTCTGTGCATTGATTTTATATCCTGCCACTTTACTGAATTCCTGTATGAGTTCTAGCAGTTTTGGGGTGGAGTCTTTTGGGTTTTCCACATGAAGTATACCATCTGCAAAGAGTGAGAATTTGACTTTTTCTTTGCCAATTTGGATGCCTTTGATTTCTTTTTGTTGTCTGATTGCTGTGGCCAGGACTTCTAATACTATGTTGAATAGCAGTGGTACTAGTGGACATTCCTGCCCCGTTCCTGACCTTAGGGGGAAAGCTCTCAGTTTTTCCCCATTGAGAATGATATTCGCTGTGGGTTTTTCATAGATGGCTTTTATGATATTGAGGTATGTACCCTCTCTCCCTACACTGTGAAGAGTTTTGATCCAGAAAGAATGCTGTACTTTGTCAAATGCTTTTTCTGCATTTATTGAGAGGATCATATGGTTCTTGTCCTTTCTTTTATTAATGTCATGTATCCCATTGATTGATTTGTGGATGTTGAACCAAACTTGCAGCCCAGGAATAAATCCCACTTGGTCGTGGTGAATAATCCTTTTAATGTGTTGTTGGATCCTACTGGCTAGTATTTTGGTGAGAATTTTTGCATCCATGTTCATCAGGGATATTGGTCTGTAGTTGTCCTTTTTGATAGGGTCTTTGGTTTTGGGATCAAGGTAATGCTGGCCTCATAAAATGAGTTTGGAAGTTTTCCTTCCATTTCTATTTTTTGAAACAGTTTCAGAATAGGTATTAATTCTTTTTAAAATATTTGGTAGAATTCCCCTGGGAAGCCATCTGGCCCTGGGCTCTTGTTTGTTGGGAGATTTTTGATTACTGCTTCAATTTCCTTGCTGGTTATGGGTCTGTTCAGGTTTCCTATTTCTTCCTGGTTCAGTTTTAGTAGTTTATACGTCTCTAGGAATGCATCCATTTCTTCCAGATTGTCTAATTTGCTGGCATACAGTTGCTCATAATACGTTCTTGTCTTTATATTTCTTTGATGTTGGTTGTGATCTCTCCTCTTTCATTCATGATTTTATTTATTTGGATCATTTCTCTTTTCTTTTTTGATAAGTCTGGCCAGGGGTTTATCAATCTTATTACTTCTTTCAAAGAACCAGCTCCTAGTTTCGTTGATCTTTTTTTTTTTTTTTTTGGTTTCTATTTCATTGATTTCTGCTCTGATCTTTATTATTTCTCTTCTCCTGCTGGGTTTAGGCTTTATTTGCTGTTCTTTCTCCAGCTCCTTTAGGTGTAGGGTTAGGTTGTGTATTTGAGACCTTTGTTTCTTGAGAAAGGCTTGTAGTGCTATATACTTTCCTCTTAGGACTGCCTTTGCTGCATTCCAAAGACTGTGAACAGTTGTGTTTTCATTTTCATTTGTTTCCATGAATTTTTTTTAAAATTCGTCTTTAATTTTCTGGCTGACCCATTCATTCTTTAGTAGGATGCTCTTTAGCCTCCACGTATTTGAGCTCTCTCCCGCTTTCCTCTTGTGATTGAGTTCTAGTTTCAAAGCACTGTGGTCCGAAAATATGCAGGGAATGATCCCAATCTTTTGGTACTGGTTG